AAATTGTACTTACTTAATTAACTTTACAAGGTATCTTTTGTGCACATACACAACACACATGCAGAATTTTACTGAAAGAGGAAATGCATAACTACTTTATTTTCTTTTTCAGACTGCCAAGCCAGCAGACGGTAAGCAGCACACATTTTATTTGTTCCTACCTATGATAGTTTTGATACACGTTTTGCAAAGCACAGCTATAGGCCAGTAGAATTAAACACAAAAATGAATTAAATCGGAAATAATCTACTATATAAAAATAAGTCGGGTTTTCCTCCCTGACGCTATAACTCCAGAACGCACGAACCGATTTCCACGGTTTTGCATTCGTTGGAAAGGTCTCGGGCTCCGTGAGGTTTATAGCAAAGATAATTCAGGAAAATTTAACAAACGAAATTCCACGCGGGCGAAGCCGCGGGCGGAAAGCTAGTTCCTACTAAAGATTTTAGTCCTTTAATGGCTTCATTAGTTGCCCATAAAGACTCTCCTAGGTTTTCGACTTCGACGGAGTTGTGCTTAAGTGGTGGGGGCCCACGAAAGGGGCGTTTTTTCGGTTTTCCGGTTATACTGCGTAAAGGACTCACCCTATCGAAAAGTGGTCTTCCTGTCGGTTGAAGGGCATTTAATCCTGCATTAAATAAGATCAAATTCATATGTTTTGAACAAACTGTACTCTGCAAATGTTCGGCAAAGTAGAAAATGTGTGTATAATTAATGACCCTCTCCACGTCCAATGGCTCGTTACCCGCAGGCTTCCAAGTCTTGAAAAGGAGCGCCTCAACCAGTGTAACCCTATCAAGTTTTACGAGCTGGATGCGCCTATTCTTGTTCGTCCCAGCCGTTCCTTAACTGCGGTTGCTGCACCTCTTCCTGGCACTCACCTGCACGACTTCGTTACCTAGCCGTAAGCCTGGTCTAAGGTTCGACGCCAAAAATCAACAACAACAAGTTCATATTAAAACGCTGAAGAGTTTTTTGTTTATTTGTTTGAACGCGCTAATCTCAAGAATTACTAGTTTGATTGAATAATTATTTTTGTGTTGAATAGCTCATAAATTGAGGAAGGCTATAGGATATATACAATCACTCTACGACTAATAGAGGCGAAGCAGTAAAGAAAAATGTTGCAAGTACGGAAAATAGTATTTAAACTACACTCGCGAGCAAAAGTATGGAATCACCCCATTCGTTTTGAGTAATCTTTGTAGCTAAATGACTATGAAAATTAAATTAAAAATGGTACCAGTTTAAAGGTTACATTACAAACTTTAACTTGATACCATAGATGCATAGATAGTCATTGAGTTCTTCAGATCGTTGGGAACAAAACACAAGAGGGTGATTCCATACTTTTGCTCGTAAGTATATTTTCACGCGTACGAAGTTGATTTTGTGGCTCGAACCTTAGACCAGGCATATGGCTAAGCAATGCGATCGTACAGGAGAGTACCTACAAGGAAGAGGGGCAGTCACATTAGGTAACACAGAGTCGTTCAGGAGAGTGCCAGGAAGAGGTGCAGCAACCGCAGTTAAGGAACGACTGGGACGAACAAGGATAAGCGAATCTAACTCGTGAGCCTTGACAGGGATACGCTGGTTAAGGCGACCCTTTACAAGGCTTGGGTGCCTACGGGTGACGAGCTATTGGACGTGGAGAGGGTCATTAATTATACACATATTTTCTACTTTGCCGAACATTTGCACGAGAACGGTTTGTCCAAAACATATGAATTTGGTCTTATTTAATGCAGGATTAAATGCCCTTTAGCCGACAGGAAGACCACTTTTCGATAGGTAAGTCCTTTACGCGGTATAACCGGAAAACCTAAAAAGCGCCCCTTTCGAGGGCCCCCACCACTAAAGCACAACTCCGTCGAAGTCGAAAACCTAGGAGAGTCTTAATAGGCAACCAATGAAGCCATTAAAGCAATAAAATCTTTTGTAGGAATTATTTCCGATTTAAAATCTAATTTTATTGGTCTACTAAGTCATTTAGAGATGGTTAAATCGTTCTCATAAAATATTTCCATGACTACTAAAGATATTTGAGTGAGTTATCGTAATTACTATAACTTGTTGGCGCGTTGGATTTTCTGTAAGCCTTCAAGCAGCCTTCTAGAATAAATAAATAAATTAATAAATAAAATTTAGCTTTCTTTTATTTTTAATGCCATATAAGGCGAACTTTATGCCATAAGTCATTCTCTACCAGTTTACCTATTAATGTTTGAGTGAAGCATTTGACTTAAAAATTTGATAACGTCCAATAGGTATTAGTCCATGGAGTTACAACTAAGTAAACATTCAACTTGAATTTGAATCAAGATTCTAGTTTCGTTTCGTGATACGTGCTTAAGGCGATATCACATCAAGCTACGCTTGATTCTTCACTACGGCATCTTAAGCACTTGAAAGAGGTGTTATTTTGCATCACTTTACATTTCGACGTGATATCGACTGTATTTACTTACACTGTTTTGTTCAAAACAGATGCCAAAAAGGCAACAGACGCTGCTAAGGATGCGGCTAAAAAGGGCGAAGACGCTGCCAAGGATGCGTCTAAAAAGGGCGAAGACGCTGCAAAGGATGCGGCTAAAAAGGCCGAAGCCGCTGCCGCAGGTAAATAAAAAAACTTTCCTGAACACTATAATCCGGGCCTTTTCAAGGCGAGAGTGAATAGGCACTTACAGTACAAATATGTGCTTACTTACCAACCTAGACTGCATCTCAATTAACACCAGGTGCAGTTGCCGTCAAATATCTGCCTTGCCATGCATAAAAAAACATTATTAAAAAAAAGAGAAAAAAATTCAGAGCATAATCCTCAAAACGAAATACACAGATCAGATCTGTGTACATGGCAAACAAATGAAACCTTCAGAGGATCGTGCAAAGTTTTAACCTGTATTGGTAGGGTTAATAAAACAATTAACGTTTCATCTTTATACAGGTGATGAAATTGAAATCGTTGACATCCTTTTAAAATAAGACTTTTTGATTGTTTTAATAGCTTTTCAGACTTCCTGATCTCCAGCTAGATGCGTTAGTTTGAGAGAACAAAATTAAGTAGGTACACATACTGAAATGTAGATAAGAAGTCAGTTACGACCAACTTTTCCTTTTCTAGTATAGTCAACTCGTCTCGTCAATCATCGATCGTATTCGATCTCAAACGTCAATCGTGAACTTGATATAGGTATCTTTGCTTTTAAGTCGGGATATTATGGATATGTAGTTTCGGTTATGGATCCGGTTACGGATATAGGAATAATATTATACCGGTTTCGGATATTTTTTTAATTTGGATATCCGAAAGTTTCTGTTACGATTACGGATATCCAGTTTACGGATATCCCTGCTTTTAAGTATCTTAAGCAAAACAATGTTGCGAGTTGTAACGTTCGCTGTGAGCCACGCGCCCCTTTCTCGTGGTGTCTGCAGAATACCAGTGGCCGTAACGTGCTCCCGAGTACGTTTTGGACTCATACTGAGAAGAGACCAATTTGGTACAAATCCTGTTTTTTTTGCTCTTTATGTTGACTTGTATCGTTCTATTTTTAGAACCAAATAAATATTTTTTATTTCTTTCATTTCAAACAAATATTCACATGTTGTATGTTAAATACATATTTCTACATAGGCGTCTTTATTGTTTCAGATAAGGGAAAGTTACCGGGTAAATATAAAATACATCAAATATTTTAGAGATGTTGAATAAAAAAATAACTTATAAAACCATACATTTTTTATGGTATTATTTTCAGATCTTTCTAAAAACAATATAATGGGTGATGTCCAAACCGTAGTCAAGGATACTGTAAAAACGTTTGAAGATATTCCTTCATCCTTGTAAGTATAATTTTCTTCTTATAATACGAGTACCTACCATTATTCAGGTTTTTATTTGAGTTTTCCAAAGGTCAATTAACAAAAGTGAAGTGAAAATATCCACCACTAATGAGACTATTATATTGACTTTATAGTCCATTAAATAGAGATTAACTTTCAGTATGGGACAAAAAGATTGTTTATGACCTTGTTACAACATGGAGTGCAATAAAGATATTAACTATTGAAAAAAAAATAAGCTGTCAGTAAAGTTATTACTGTATGAAAAATTTTAGCACCTAGTTTCTTTTTTTACATAAGCATTTATTGAAATTCATTGCTTTCTTTTTCAGTATGGGAATGTTTGGAGGATTTGGTAAATAGTTCATCCACGTGTTTTCGAGATTATGAACGTGCAAATATTAATTAATGGATGCAAATCATTAACAATTACAAATATTAGTTATACTAAAATCAAGTAAATAAAAATATCAACAACTAGTAACATTGCTTTTAATTTAACAGTTTACGTTTTATTTTTAAAATTTTTNATTTTTGCAAGATTTATGACTTCACCTTATTTGTTTACGATACTAGGCAGCAAACTGGTAGTTTATTCAACATGTCTTCTCTTCGCTTTTGGTGGACTGGCTCCTTTGAGGCGACAAAGCTGAAAAAGACATTTTAATACATTTTCAAAGAGGATAAGTTACCATTTTTAAATATAACTTGTTAGCCTTAGTAAATGCCCCGTTTTTGTATGACAAGCACACTAAACTTTCAATTCCACTGTATTATTTTGGCTTTAAGTACTTACAGCTTATATTATTATCTCCGGAGTCATTTTCAATTAATTTTAAAGTAAAGATTAAAATAGATTAAGATAGTTCAAAATCTATAGGCAAAAATTTTGTGAAAGGTTGAAAACGAAGCAACATCAAAATTAGTGTTACTAGCATGAATAAATATTTAATTTCAGCTGTTTCGTTAAATCCTAGGTTAAACCGTAATATTTATATTTGAGATACCAAAATGCGTTACTAAATTATATGATTTACGCATATTATGCGTAGTAATATAAGTGACACGTAAAATCATGCAATGAAAAAAAAAACAAAATATCAAAAATACTATATTATTTTCAAACACACAAGACAAAGTTTAAAATACGAGCATGTCAAAAAGCACTCGAACAAACATACACTGTTAAAAAAAAAGTTGTGACATAATTACATAATTATGTATATTGACGGTATTTATTTAATAAGTCGTAATTTTAAAAGTAGTTGTTTGTTCAAATTAAGACTGGCTCTTATGTGCTATACATATTATGTATATTAAAATGATTAAAGTACTTTTTAAAAAAGCAAAAAAGTTGGATTAAGTTTCTTTTTCACATTCAGAGTTGTTGTTGTTATCATTAATTAATATGAATATGATAAACAAAATTCAAATGATAACCTAATCCTTGAACAGACAGGTTATATTTATTAAAGTCATTAAGTAAAAAAATCTTTTCAACTTTATTGCCTGAAGTTAGGAGCCAAACAAAATAGTTTTTGCTGAGTCTAACCACGGGTTAAAACCTAAAATATCGTGGCACTACACTTTCAGGGGCGCTATACATGTTTAAGCGAGTTGGCATAACGTCTGGACATTCGGTTTGACCGCCCAATTCAGAGTAATCAGCTTAGGTATAGCGCCCCACAATGATGTTTCAATCCAATAGACTAAGAGCTAGTGAACGCCAGACCTACGTCGTTATACCAAAAATTCAGATTTTTATGCATAATATTTGGGCAATGATTATAAGTTTTTTCCACATCAGCCAAATAGTTTTGACAGTTTTTTAGGATAGCTGCCAAAGCCACGATGACCCAAACTTCATGATTCACCAGCATTTTAACCTATATTGGGAGCATACGCTGACAAACTTTCAGCTTTTATAAAATGACGTAGGTCTGGCGTTCACTAGCTCTTAGTCTTCAAGCATACACAAGCAGTAAAAAATGATGAACGACACACAACAAACAAGCAAGTGACTATATTAGCACTCCTTTCCTACGCATATACAAGGGTGCATTCACACTGGGCGCAAGTGCACTACCGTTATTGGTTTTACCGAGCTCTTGATTTACTTGGCTACGGTCGCCGTCTCGCAGCGATCCGCGTTTGTCCTTTGACATTTGCGTTACCTGAAAAAGAGCAGCGATTTTAAATTGAGAAATTACTGATGAATTCATAAGGCTAGGCAGTCAATATTTAAATTGGAAATATAGGCGAAAATTCATCAAAGATACATCACACATATCAGTTCTGACACAACTACTGGTGTAATGCGAAATATTTTTTCATACATACTCTATGAACTCATCCCCACTAGTCAGTTTCAGTGACGACACCGGCAATGATAGACGTATCACTGAAGCTCTGTGAACTGAGTACTGACATGTGTGAATTAAATCACTAACGCAACACTGAACTGAGCAAACACGTTGACGAAACTGTGGCTTCACTGATATGTGTGAATAGACCTTTATGCGTTTAAATGTGACAAACAAACAAAGTTACTTTCACAGTCTGCCCACTCTCCCCTTGGTGGGTATAAGTGGCGACTAAGGGACAAATATGCGAACATCAGGCCTCCGCAATCCGTCTGGCCGTGTAGGCAAAAATTCTCTACACGTCTCTAGAAAATTAGTAGGTCGTGTCAGTGGACACTAAATTATCTGATGAATATAGAGTGTGGTTTTGTAAAACAACGCCCATCTCAGGGGTGGTAGTACACATGAAAATAATTACAAAGATCATTTATTCACCGAGACAAGGTAATACAACAAGGTAGATGTTACAATAGTTATACAGTGCAGCTTATCTCACCAGCAAGCTAGTGTGTGATTATTACATTTTTTTTTATTGACCCATGCATAGTTAAAAAAAATGAGAACTTTCCAACTACAAACAAAGAACAGATAAATTATTTGAATTACAATTATCAATAAAGATAATGTCAGTACAAGAAAAAATAAAATTAAAATTTAACTATTATTTTAGTAAAAAACCTTGTTCAAACCTCTCCTAAAAGAGAGAGCGAGGGGACTGACTGATTTTCCTGATTACATGGATTTTTTTTTTAATTTTTTTGGCATCAGTGTCGTGAGTACTAACAACCCAGAGATGGGCGTTGTTTTACAAAACTACACCCTGTATTTTGTCGTGATAGCAGTAAACATCTAAAGGAGATCTGAAGCCTGAAAGCCTCGTTGACGTTTGACGTTACAAAAACGTCTCATGCCGCCTAAGTTAAGCACTAGACTTAGTATTTTTTACTTACCGCATCATCGATGGCCTTGAACTGCCAGTTCCAATGCACGCGGTAGAGGAACGGGCGATGGTCGAACCGGTTGTCGTCGGGACTGTAAGTCTCCGCGTGGTACGAGGGTGTCAGTACGGTCATCTTGTGTCGGTTGATCGCGTAGCACCGGAAGAAATGCTTCTGAGATAAGCGACCCATAGTTTTTTTACTTACCGCATCATCAATGGCCTTGAACTGCCAGTTCCAATGCACGCGGTAGAGGAACGGGCGATGGTCGAACCGGTTGTCGTCGGGACTGTAAGTCTCCGCGTGGTACGAGGGTGTCAGTACGGTCATCTTGTGTCGGTTGATCGCGTAGCACCGGAAGAAATGCTTCACCTTCTCAGCGACCTGGTTCAAAGGAAATTGGATCGTAAAGGTAGTATTAGCGAAACCTAATAAGCTGAAGTTTATTGCGAAAATGAATTGCGTATTTTGCATCGCCTAGGCTGTCTGAAGCCAAACGCTGTGTTAAGCGGACGCGGGCGCGGGCTCATACAAAATTGACCCGTCGCAGCGTCGCGGGCCCCGCCGCGAGTCAATGAGGGCTATCGTTTTAGCGCTCACCAGTTGGCGCCACTGTAGAGTAAGGTCCTGTCACTTGCTAGTAGCGAAGACAGTGGCGCCAACTTGTGAGCGCTAAAGTGGTAGGAGGACTATCGTATTTGCACTCATCAAGATGGCGCCACTGTAGAGTAAGGTCCTGTCAATCGCCAGGGGTGCCAACTGTTAAGTATAAAAACGATAGCCCTCATTTTGTATGAGCTTATCTACTTAACTTTACTTAAAAGTTACTATAATTACAATATCGACTCTCAGACAAGTTTTATAGCAAGAGCTCCAATATTTATTATTCATACTCGTTCTTAGGCACATGTAACTATGGGATTACTGATAAAATTCATCGGAGAAAATATTTGTTTACATTATTTTTATCGATAACCTTCGATTTCAAAAAACTCTACGACTCAAAAGATTGCGTTTAGAATATAACGTTATAACATCCTTAAGAGACCACTAGTTAAAAAAAACTATTAAAAACTTTTTTCTACAAAATGACACAAATTATTACATCGTCAATCAATTAGTAAACTACTTCAATAATTACCTCTTGGGCCGTGCATTTGTCGCTCCAAGTGTGAACCAGTTTGTGGAACATACTGAAGGGGCCGCAGTGATGGGTCTTGCGCAGTCTCCCGAACTCTGACAACTCTGCATACGTCATGCCCATGTCTTGTTCGTCAGTTTGCGTTATCTGACCGTCAGTTAGCGGCTCTAATTCCGCAGTGGGAGGCGCTTGGAGTATTTCCGATAGTGAGGGCAAGAAGAATCTGGGGGGAAAATTGGTTGTTAAGTAGCAAGTCCAATTAGGACCTTAAGACGAGGTGATAAAGATCTAAATTATGGTGAATTATAATTTGACATAATTTCATTTTACCTTAAATAGCGATGGAGCTATAACCTCTAAGGCCTTCCACCGAGGCGAGGTAAATGAAGCGATTCTATTGGTTTTTTACAAACACATCCCTCGCTACGCATCTCTGGTGGAAACGCAGCCTAATCAAGAAGCGATATATCTTTTGTCATAAAAGTCAATTTTCTGCAAATAGGCTTTTAAGAAGCGCTTTTACACGTCCCAGTTTTATTTAACCCTACCACTGCCTTGAGACAGTAAATGGGCCAGCAAAAAGAAAGTCATACAACAACGTAAGTACATGCTAAATAATTATATTCCACAGGCTAATGTGATAGAAAGAACTAATTCCATTTTAACTTACCGGCTTTTAGCATACTGAAGGAACGCCTTAAGGTCGGTCTTGGATATTCCTCCTATGGGGTTGACGTCTGCGCTTGAGCAATCGTACTTGGTCATGTAGCCTCTCAAGGCTTCGTCTACGTTGGACGAGCCGAGTACGAGTAAGCCGCCCGGCCGGCCTCGCACCCATAGCATCAGCTGAGCAAACAAGTACGATAGCACCATCCGTAAACGTGCCTGTAAGGTAAAAACATTTTCAAGTCTAGCCTTCAAACTGTTTTTGAGTTGACATAGACACAGAACTAACCCAAAATTTCACACTAATGCAACAACTCCTGTACAGTGTCTTGTATGTTACGTCTAGTGCTTAAATCCGGATTTGGACAAGGACTGAATATGGGACACGGGCGTTAGACAATGTAAGAATCTGCATAGGTTCAGCTTCGAAAAGGGGCACAAGTAACCACGAAGCGAATTGTCGTATCAGAGCTAAGAGTCTTGAGGAAAAAATTAAGTGCCAGTATTTGTGCGTCGTCCGGGACGACTCGTCCCACAAATGCCTCTTTCATAATACTTTAATTGACACAAAATATATTTATTAGAGTTACACAATATCGAGGATCGTGATCTCTGCTCGTTATGTGAATTGACGCATACAATGACATTCGACTGTTCTAAAACTAAAGATAGTATTAGACCTTGTTGCTTATAGGTGCAGTTAAAAAAGATGTCCTCGTAAAAATATTCAATTCAATGACGTCAACTACCCTATACAAATAAAATAGGCGTTCTTGTAAACAAGGTTAAGAAACAGTAATAAATATAACATAAGGTATTTATTTAGTAAACAATTTATTGTAAATTGCTAAGTTCGTATACGTGATGTCGTAATTGTCTAACACCTTTTTAAACAAGAGTGACGCAACAAACTATAATTATTATAAAAAAACATGTACTAAACAATCGAATAGCAAATTAGTTGCGTATTCATAAACGTTCGACACAAAATACATAGCAATTAATTACATTACAAAGACGTCAGCGCACCTATGTCAATAATTCGATAATATGCGAATTAATTTAAATATTCTAGTTGACACAGTTGTTGTACAGTAAGTTTACTTTGGATACCCATTGTTAAAGAAATTCGGTGTTTATTAACCGATGTCAATGATTCATTATAATTTGATTTACATGGTTATTTTTTTATATTTTTTTACATCTGGCGATGGTCGATTGTCACGTTGCTTCAAGGTAAAAAGCAAAGCGAATGAGAAGTGGGCTATAGGTAGGATCATAAAGATACCTATTTGGCGTTGAATTTGAAGGAAATATCCCTTTTATCACATAACCAGGATTTTTAGGCACATAAAATTCATTTTATGTATTGGAATGAAGGTTTTAATTCTTAGATGCATTTTCAACCGTCATGTTTCGCTTTGCAACGAAGTGAAGTAATTGCACAGAATAAGTAATAGTACAGGTACAGAAGGATTACTCCGCAAGACCATTTAAATAAATGCGAGTCTTGCTACGACGCAATACAGTGGAATTCAGCTCGCACAGCACTACGTACCTACAATTTTATTCACCTACAAGTTTTGTCTCTTTCTATCGCGTGCCTCTGAACTCTTCTTACGCTGTTAGGGTTGCTGTCTAGTGAAAAAATATTAATCTACTTATTTGTAATGAGGTACGTATGTAGGTAAGTATGCATTCATTATGGAAAACCTTGGGAGATGCCTTTGTCCAGCAGTGACGCATTCTGAGCAGTAGTCATAGTAGGTTAGGTTCCTATACTATCCTAAGAATTATTGATTACCCACTTGGCAAACATACCTTTCAGCATCTTTGGGAAGCGAAAAAAAAAGATGAATCCGGTAGATTACTTTTCGAATTTAAACACCCGAACGCCGCACAATATTTCTTTCTCTTTATGTCCATTTTTAAATAATACTTCGATCATAGAATTATAATCATACTACAACACACGCCAGCGTCCTGACGAGCGCGCGCGTGACACTCGACTGATTTATTACTCGCCGGCGGGGCGCGTCGCTGTAGGTAATTATCGGATGTACCGCGCGGAGTGAGCCAGGCCTGGTAATTGTCAACCTTTGAGGTTATAGAAATGTGAGTTCTAAGATGTACAAGAGTTGCATAAGTGTGAAATTTTCCTGTCTTAGTGAGCACCTACGTTCTAAAAGGAACCCCCATGCAAAGATTCCTAGCACTTGTAGTTTCCGAGATTTCGTGATAAGTGAGTGAGTCAGTGACCTTTCGCTTTTATAAATATAGATTTTCAGGATTACCTGTATATTCTGTAAGGCCAGATTCTGCCTAGCACAGCCGCCTTTGCTCCTGAATTTCGGCACGAGACCAGTGGCAGTTGTGAAAATGCCAATTACTGCGCTCACGGCCGAGTCGATCATGATAGGGAAATGGTAGCTTCCTATTTCACTGGCGAGCTGAAAAATAATTCAAGTAATTTTTGTTACTTTTTTATCAGTAAGAGCAGCTTTGTTTCTTTCTTGGAATGGGTATTTACCCATTTCAAGAAGCGTATGCGCAAGCGTAAGTCTTTTTAACATCTCCAAGCATGTAAATAGGAACAAACTCTAGTAAGGTGTTCCCTACACCTTACTTTTTGTTCCTATCTAGTTTGTTCAGAAATAATTTTTCAATAGAACTTGGGACTGACTTAAGTATGACAATATAAATTAGTAATGTGATATTTGCGATTGATTTCTAAGCGCAGCTACTAGCGCCATCTCTCGTTTCTTCATGAACTTTTCAAATAAAAAAACGTTAAAAAATTAATATACAATCAGAGTCAAATAGTTTGTGACACCCAAAGTAGCAAAAAGTTCGCAACTTGTCATTGTTACAATTGGAATAAGGTGAAGTTCTCAACTTTTTGGCCACTTTGGGTGTTACGAACTATTTGACCCTGACTGTATAAAAGTTTTATACCTGCGAAGCTCTCTGTTTAGTCTCCTGACTAGAATTCTCTGAAGCCATATAGCACGTCACTAACAACCTATTACATAGTTCCATAGGATCTGATGGCGTGTAGTCAGACTGGCAGAGGATCTTCCGAACATCGTACAAAACTTGACTCTCTAAAAATAAACACAAAATTAAAATTAGAATCAACTTACTATTTGTGGAAGGTCTAGACGTTCTATTTATCTAGCAAGGACAGGTCTAAGCCTTGTGTAATCTGACGTCACAACTTACCTCCTTTTTGTATTGCGTCACAGATCTGTGTGCACATTGAAAATACGATGCAAGCGGTGCTCGTGGAGTCTACACCGCCACTTAGGGGCAAGAAAAAGCCTCCTTGCCCTGACCTGCGGAGGTAGTCCCATAGCCAACAAGCTGGGCCTGAAATATAAAACATGCCAATTTAATCATGTCGACGAAGTTATTCAGCATAATTATAAAACTGCCAAGGTCTATACGACAATTTTTTCTGCAAACTCGCATTGTCCCAGAAACCATGACTTTAGTGACTTTTCTACACAGCAACAAATACAACAGTGCGTTTAATTGAAACATTTTTATTACATGTTGGCGCGTCGGATTCTCTGTAAGCCTTCAAGCAGCTTTCTAAATAAATAAATTCATTACATTTCAAATTTTTACTGTGTTAGCTACTATCTCTTAGTTTTTATATTTGCAACTGTCCACATTGCATGCCGTGGCAGCCTTTAATTAAGACAGCACTTAGTTTTAAGCACTTTTAGTTATAGTAATTTCATGTATGCGTGTTTGTCTTGTTGGTTGTCCTAATAAATTAAACAAAAAATAAATAAATAAAATAAATAATCGTAAAACTGCAGGAAACAAACTCAACCTAAGGGATGGTTATTTATTAGTTTATTATCTATCACGGAGGACTATTGTGGATTAATTCTAGGAAAATAGATGAGAAAGAAATCTGCTATTGAATATAAGCCTTTATTATACGAGGGCTGCACTAAAAGTATCGGGAATGGAATATTTCCACTGTTCCAGTCATATTAAAATCTATTTAATTGCAAACTCCAGGGTTTTAAAAATCGTATACCATTTATTTATTNTATCAAAAATTTTAGCTTTCTCCAGTAACACTGGTATTATTATACTGTGACTCATCAAAGTCATCATTGTCAAAAATATTGACAAATCGAGAACTGTCACGGCCAAAAAACTGGCACGCGTCCGTCCTCCGTAAGCGCCACCGCGCGACTGATTGAGATTGTCCAAGCCGTCATGGGCGATTTTTTCCACATTTTTTAACATAGTAACTAAATAAGACGCAATATAAAAATTTCATCCGTTAAAAGCCCTCAAGTTATTTCTAAACTTTAGTTTAGTAAAAGATTCAGAATCTCAAATCGTTTATTTTAAAAATAAAACCATTATTAGAAAACGAATAGAGGTAACTTTGGGAATTTATTCTATCGAGTCAACTTCATCAAATCGTGTTTCCATCCGTTAATAGCCCTAGAAAATATCCTCAACTATGCCCAAAAAAAATCTTAGCCTTTTATTTTACTGTTTAGTACCTCAAAAATGAAAAATGAAAACCTCATTTTCGCCATTTTCACTGTTACCCGGCCTTAATTACATTACAAAGACGTCAGCGCATCTATGTCAATAATTCGATAATATGCGAATTACTTTAAATATTCTAGTTGACACAGTTGTTGTACAGTAAGTTTACTTTGGATACCCATTGTTAAAGAAATTCGGTGTTTATTAACTGATGTCAATGATTCATTATTTGAATTACATGGTTATTTTTTTATATTTTTTTACATCTGGCGATCGTCGATTGTCACGTTGTTTCAAGGTAAAAAGCGAAGCGAATGAGAAGTGGGCTAAAGGTAGGATCATAAAGAATTTGAATTTGAAGGAAATATCTCTTTTATCACATAACCAGGATTTTTAGGCACATAAAATTCATTTTATGTATTGGAATGAAGGTTTTAATTCTTAGATGCATTTTCAACCGTCATGTTTCGCTTTGCAACGAAGTGAAGTAATTGTCAACCTTTGAGGTTATAGAAATGTGAGTTCCAAGATGTACAAGAGTTGCATTAGTGTGAAATTTTCCTGTCTTAGTGAGCACCTACGTTCTAAAAGGAACCCCCATGCAAAATTTAAGACTCCTAGCACTTGTAGTTTCCGAGATTTCGTGATGAATGAGTGAATCAGTGACTTATCGCTTTTATAAATATAGATTTTCAGGATTACCTGTATATTCTGTAAGGCCAGATTCTGCCTAGCACAGCCGCCTTTGCTCCTGAATTTCGGCACGAGACCAGTGGCAGTTGTGAATATGCCAATTACTGCGCTCACGGCCGAGTCGATCATGATCGGGAAATGGTAGCTGCCTATTTCGCTGGCGAGCTGAAAAATAAGTTAATTAAGTCATTTTAGATCAACACTTTTGTAATCAGTAAGGCCCAGAACACACGGTGAAACGCAATTGCAACGAAACTGCAGCTTCTAGTTACTTTTGAGTTGCATATAAGTTTCTGCCATAGATTCCGTTGAGAGAACACAGTTTGAAACCAGTTTGAACCAGAAGTTGCAGTTTCGTTGCAATTGCATTTCATCGTGTGTTCTGGGCCTAAGAGCAGCTTAGATGCTATACGATTTGTTTCTTTCTTGAAATAGTCAAATGCGCAAGCGCATATCTTTAGTCTTATCCAAGAATTCCCTAGACCCATACTAGATTTTGGACAGGACTTGGGACTGACTTAAGTATGACAACATATAAATTAGTAATGTGATATTTGCGCTCAATTTCTAAGCGCAACCACTAACACCATCTCTCGTATCTTTGTGAACTTTTCAAAAAACAAAAAGCGTAAATAACTAAGATATAGTCGGCGCAAATAGTTCGTGACACCCAAAGTAGCAAAAAGTTCCAAACACGTCTTTCTTTATAAGGCTAAGAACTCATGGGGCGATTTTCAACCCGCGCCCGCGGCGGTTGCGGGCCCGCAGCTTCTGTAGAATGCAGATACTATGTAAAAACTAATGCACAACTCAAGACGTGGTTTTCGCCCGCAACGGGCGCGGTTTTAATCGGGTCCCGCTCGGCAGTTTCCGCCCGCGCGAAAACCGCCCGATCGGCGGGCGACCATTTTGTACCAGTGACTTAGCACGCGGCGCGTTCTTAGCCTAATAGGAATAAGGTGATGTTGTCAACTTTTTGGCTACTTTGGATGTTACGGACTATTTGACGCTGACTGTATCATACAAGTTTTATACCTGCGAAGCTCTCTGTTTAGTCTCCTGACTAGAATTCTCTGAAGCCATATAGCACGTTACCAGCAACCTATTGCATAGTTCCATAGGATCTGATGGCGTGTAGTCAGACTGGCAGAGGATCTTCCGAACGTCGTACAAAACTTGACTCTCTAAAAATAAACACAAAATTCAAATTAGAATCAACTCACTATTTGTGGAAGGTCTAGACGTTCTATTTATCTAGCAAGGACAAGTCTAAGCCTTGTGTAATCTGACGTCACAACTTACCTCCTTTCTGTATTGCGTCACAGATCTGTGTGCACATTGAAAATACGATGCAAGCGGTACTCGTGGAGTCCACACCGCCACTTAGGGGTAAGAAAAAGCCTCCTTGCCCTGACCTGCGGAGGTAGTCCCAAAGCCAACAAGCTGGGCCTGAAACATAAAACATGCCAATTTAATCATGTGGACGAAGTTATTCAGCATAATTATAAAATTGCCAAGGTCTATACTACAATTTTTCTTTAAACTTCACCAACCATGACTTTAGTGACTTTTTTACACAGCAACAAAATACAACAGTACGTTTAATTGAAACATTTTTATTACTTGTTGGCGCGTTGGATTCTCTGTAAGCTTTCAAGCAGCTTTCTAAATAAATAAATTACTAATCGTAAAACTGCAGGGAACAAACTCAACCTAAGGGATGGTTATTTATTAGTTTATTATCCATCACGGAGAACTATTGTGGATTAATTCTAGGAAAATAGATGAGAACCTTTAGAAATATGCTACTGAATATAAGCCTTTATTATACGCCACAGCAAGCAACTCTGTGTTAGCATCAAACAGCGCGTGTGAAATGAAGCGCACAGGCAAAAGCCATATTACAAATATACAAATTGCATCATTCAGTCTTCAGACGCTCGAGTCGATATTTTTTAACTCCACCTATATGCTTCTGATTAAATTCGTTGCTGTAGCGGTGGGAAAGTGTGGTAGGACAACTCCCGTTCAGTCGCTCGACACTTACCTAATTCGATTTCTTCTTCTGGCGTCAGATACTTCCAGTCTATCGGTGGGCTGGTTGTCAGGTGTACGTCATCGTCATCAGACAACGCGAAGGGAACGGTGATACGCGGGAACGGCTTGTTGGACGCGGCCAAGTGTGATCGGGATCTAATCTGAGTTCTGTACGACCGAATGTCTTCCAGGTCTATTGTGGCTGTTATTACCTCCTGTAAACATATGAAATGTTTAAATAAAAGCGGGATTTAGATATCGTTCCACTAAACTAAATCATAATACAAAAAGTACGTACTATAGCCTATATTAAGAATAAAATAGAACTTGAAGGTAACAAAGATTTTTGTTATTTTGGGAAACGAAGCAAAAGCCTTTGAGTCGAGAAAGGCTTACGATCTCTCTTTATCTATGGAATACGAGGCGTTAAGAAAGTGAATACTATTCCATAATCTGCTTACATTCAAGAGAATAAATCTAATATAACTATTAAAATTGTTCTGCGAAGAACACTCCCAATTTATCTAGAACCCAATGCTACCAACAGTCTTCGAATGAGATCATATTAACAAAAAACTTACAACATCGTGCAGGGCAAACTGCAATCCCCTGCTAACAACCTCTCCATTCACGGCGACACAGGAACACCCGTTGAAGTAAATCCTCTGTCCGTCGCAGCCTCTAAGATTGCTGAACAAATAAGCGCCACCGCTCTTGAAAGTGGCACTTTTGACCAGGTCTACGGTGACGTATGCTTTGCGCAGTTCCATGTAGCTGCCGGAACCGTTGGCTATGATCTCTACGCCGTCGAGGCTTAGGGGGATGTGACGACTGGAAAGAATAAGGTCGAAATTAAGGAATGAATTGTGAAGCTTAACTGTACTTTTTAGCACTACTGTACAGTAACCTTTACATCTACTACAGGGTGGAAACGATGAGTGATCTCACTCGGTTATTTAGTAACTATACACGATATTGAAAAACTGGTTACTGATCCTGAAAGTGCCTCACGAGCTCTATCAAATAATAGGTTACAGAATCAACTGGATCTATCCGAAAATTGAATCCCACCAAAAACATTCTGTAAAAAACTAGCCAAGTCTCGATGGAGCTGCTTGTTTATCTCTAAAAAGTAATGAAATCTAGACAAAGTCGTGCCAAGTCTATGGTTCCTTACTGCGATTTCTTTATTATTATAGTTAATGTTGTGTGACTTGGCCGTTGAAGTGTACAAAACCAGGTGCTCTATGACACCATTGCACCAATCTGTCGCCAGAACCGCTATCCATTGATGATGGAAAATTGCCACTTGGAAAACGTTGATTTAATAACCAGANCCGCCGCATCATCCTCCATCACGACAATGCGAGTTCTCACACCGCGCACAGAACAAAAGAGTTTTTAGAGCAAGAAAACATAAAATATTAGTCCATCCGCCGTACAGCCCCGACCTAAGCCCTAATGATTTCTATACTTTCCCTAAAATAAACAATAAATTGCGTGGACAGTGATTTTCATCACTTGAAGAAGCTGTGGAAGCCTACAAAACGGCCATTTTGGAGACCCAAACTTCCGAATGCAATGGTTGCTTCAATTATTGGTTTCGTGTATGGAAAAATGTGTCAAATTTCGCGGAGAATACTTTAAAAAGCAATAAATACATTTTTAAATAGTAATGTTGTTTCACTTCCTTGATTCCCGAAATTTTCAGTGCCGCCCTCGTATGCCACAGCAAGCAACTCTGTGTTAGCATCAAACAGCGCGTGTGAAGTGTTAAGACCTACTTATTACAAATATACAAATTGCATCTTTCAGTCTTCAGACGCTCGAGTCGATATTTCTTAACTCCTATATGCTTCTGATTAAAATCGTTGCTGTAGTGGTGGGAAAGTGTGGTAGGACAACTCCCGTTCAGTCGCTCGACACTTACCTAATTCGATTTCTTCTTCTGGCGTCAGATACTTCCAGTCTATCGGTGGGCTGGTTGTCAGGTGTACGTCATCGTCATCAGACAACGCGAAGGGAACAGTGATACGCGGGAACGGCTTGTTGGACGCGGCCAAGTGTGACCGGGATCTAATCTGAGTTCTGTACGACCGAATGTCTTCTAGGTCTATTGTGGCTGTTATTACCTCCTATAAAAAATCAAATATTTAATTATAAGTTTCGTTGCACTAAAACATAATACGTCTTATAGTCTGTATTGAGGATAAAATATAATAAAACTTCGGTGCCTAAGCATTTTTTTAATTCTGGGAATCGAAGCAGCACCTTTGAGTTGGAGTAAATACTAGTCTTTAATCTTTTGGAACACAGGGCGTTAGAACAGTGAATAGTGTTTCATAATCTGCTACATTCGTAAGAATAAGTCTGACATAACTATTTTTATTTTTCTGCGAAGAACACCCCCAATTTATCTAGAACCCAACACTACCTTCAAAACAGTTTTCGGATGAGATCTTAATAACAACTTACAACATCGTGCAGTGCAAACTGCAATCCCCTGCTAACAACCTCTCCATTCACGGCGACACAGGAACACCCGTTGAAGTAAATCCTCTGTCCGTCGCAGCCTCTAAGATTGCTGAACAAGTAGGCACCACCGCTCTTGAATGTGGCACTTTTGACCAGGTCTACGGTGACGTATGCTTTGCGCAGTTCCATGTAGCTGCCGGAACCGTTGGCTATGATCTCCACGCCGTCCAGGCTTAGGGGGATATGACGACTGGAAATAATAAGGTCAATCAAAATCAAAAATATTTATTCAGTTTAGACCACAAGTGGCACTTATGAACGTCAATAGAAAATAATAAAAAAAGAAAAAGGTAGCCCTTATATTAGGTAGCCCGTAGGTCGAAATTAAGGAATGAATTGTGAAGCTTAACTGTACTTTCTAGCACTACTGTACAGTAACCTTTACATCTACTACAGGGTGGAAACGATGAGTGATCTCACTCGGTTATTTCGTAACTATACACGATATTGAAAAACTGGTTACTGATCCTGAAAGTGCACCACGAGCTCTATCAAATAATAGGCTACAGAATCAACTGGATCTATCCGAAAATTGAATGTTTCCAGGTTCCTGAAATTTAGTGATTTGCTCAGTTGAGCAAAATACTATAAGTTAATCAGGTTTTCAATACCTGATAGATCACAGTACTCGATAACAGGTCGATAAAAAAAGCTTTCTTTCTGTTTGGTGTATGACCTCTTGTTCTTAATTCAATAAGCTAATAAAAATGCCAACAAACACAAAGTATCAGTCAGCTGTATTCCATGTCATGGAAAATGAAGACAGTATAAGCACCTTTGAGGGTTCCACAGTTCTTCGCAAATTTCGTATCCTATGCACGTGTCTTTAGTCGCGATCACCGCATCTCCGATAGGCACCGTAGTCTGATTCGTGATTGCTGTTATCATTCTAGGCAAGTAGTAATCCTCTATTTGCCTTTCCTGAAAAATAAATATTATTACAGTCTTCAACAAATCTAATCAAAATGCATGAAATTATAATTATATGGTACGACCAAAAAAGAAAGGAAGTATGGATAAGCCAAAGACTTTCAAGGCTCTTTTAATAACATAAATTGCCTTGCTATGAAAAAAGCGCATTCTGTTCTATGTCTTGAAACTTCAGTCACTTACTTTGGTCCAACATGAAAACCACCTGGACTCCCTGTAGTTACCATCCTCGCAAAGCATCATCTTTGGTCTGATTAACAAAATTTGTTTGTTGAGGAATGCTACGCGACAATTGTAAGTCACATTTCTGTGTTGAACTGGCATGCCAACATCTATCAGCATATCCTTGCAGGTTGGCGACTTTAGTAATTCTGCTAAAACCTGCCAGCTATGGAGGTATGTATCTGGCTCGTGGAAATGATCTTCGCAACTGTACCCACTGAAAAATAATAAAAGATGACGTCAAGAACATGATTTCGAACGATAACTGCAAAAGCTAATGGATGTTACTTACCATACTTCCAATTCAGGACCTGTGCGATATAACGCGTTCAGTTCTTTAGCCTCCTGCACGGACTGCAGTATTCTATTCAAGTTTCCTTCAAAATCTAACGCCCATTGATTGAGTGTGCACACAGCTACTGTTACTTTCCGACCCATCTTGGGGAAGCTTAAACGAAGATCGTATCTGTCAGTTACAAAGTTTTACTACACCACAAATTGAAAGTCATTGACTTATGAATATTGATAACAACTTACAATTTGTACGGAAGACTACCTATCGTGCTAGAATCAAATACGAGCTTGTATTTCCGATGCCAGACATGAATGATATTGAACACAGCAAAACTACTTCAGAACTTCGCGATACTTTTGTTAACACTTGTTAGGCAAGTCCCGCTTACTTTTACAAATGAGTAAGTATAACATTTTTACAAAATTATCGCATACATACTTAGGTATTATTCTTATATCTAATATTCTTATCATTTATTGGAAAGTCTTGTTAAACCTGATACAGAATGAAGCAAAATATTGTGATACAAAAACAACAAAAGATGAGTATACCTAGCCTATTCGTATTGCATTAGAGCCATAAGTCCCAGAAGTACGCCTATTTACAAAATATACAATACAGCAACACCATCAATTACAACGCTATCTTTGGGAAACTCATAAAACTTTGCCAACCCGAAAATTATTTTTCTGTAATCAATTTCAAATTTTCTTATCTACGACCTTAATCGATCACCTCATAGAATGCAAAAAACAATTTGGCAATCTACTATGCCTGATTTTTAGGCAGACATTTTTTAACAAAGCTGGTTTAAAAGAAAAAAAGCTTTCAAGTAGAGTTCATCGACAGAATAAGTATTTCCACAGAAAGCATTTTTTATTGTTCTACCAAGAACTAATCTATGGTAAAATAGGGCAATAGCAGTTAAAACGATAATTCGACGTAAATAATCTGGCACAGCATACGAAATGGGATTCATTGATGAGTGACACAAGACAATAAGGCGTACAGTCTGCTAGGAAATCGATCCGCGCCAGCCCGTGCCACGGGACGGCCAATCACCTCGCTACCCTTACATTTTAGACATTTACGCATAGTAAAACTCAAAATTTGATGTGCTAATAATTCACAAATTTGACAACTCTGAAAAGAGAAAACTGGAGACACTGTAGATGCTGACTTATACAGGAATAACCCTGAGAAAAATTTAACTATCCCCTTGATTGACTATTCTCATGTAAAATAAATGAGTAGATTCCAAAAAAAAAAAAAAGTTAGCTCTACATTTTTACTTTACGATTTGAGGAAAGGTCGAATCGAAAAGGTCGAAAGGGAGCAATTTAAGATGATTTGCTTTACGCGAAAAATCTTAAGACAAGGCGCTAATCAGTATTTATCATACCTGAGTTATCATCACAAACATTATGTACCTACCCTTAGGGCATGTATTCAACTGGGATTGTAATAAATCGCGTGACAAACATACGTTATAAAATAAATAGTAAAAGCCCATTAAAAGGGTTTAACTCGACTTCGGTTTAATGATAAAGGATAAAGTTAGCTAACTATTATCTAAGCTGAACATCTTTCATCTATTTTCTATATTTTCATCATGACGCAGTTAAAAAAAAATTACCTACGAAATTATTTTAATGTTGTAAAAGTGTTAAATTGTAGGGAATATTGTTTGGCGATATTAGATAGGTACATAATCTAAATATATAAAAGGAGAAACTGACTGACTGACTGACAGATCAACGCACAGCCTAAACGGCTAAACGTAGGTACTTGAAATTTGGAAGGGACGTAGTTTAGGTACCGTAGAGGTGCACTAAGAAAGGAATTCCCGAAATTCCCACGGGAACGGGAATTAGCGGAAAAATCCTTTTGTATGAAAAATCTAAACCGCTTAAGTTAGACGCTTGAAATTTGGTGTGCAGGTACCTTAGTAAACTTAAAGCTTAGGTACATCAGGATATCGCAAAATTCCCATGGGAACGGGAGTTACCGGGAAAAAACATATGTATGAAAAAATCTAAACTGCGTGAGATAGACGCTTGAAATTTGGCATGCAGGTACCTTAGTAAACTTAAAGCTTAGTTACAACAGGATATTGCAAAATTCCTACGGAAACGGGAGTTAGCGGGAAAAAACATTTGTATGAAAAAAATCTAAACCGCTTAAGATAGATGAAGGGGGTAAAACGGGATCCACGCGTACGAAGTCGCGGGCGGCCGCTAGCTATCATCTATCTATCTATATAAATAAAAATGAATTGATGTTCGTTAGTCTGATTATAACTCGAGAACGGCTGGGCCGATTGAGCTGATTTTGGTTTTAAAATGTTTGTCGTAGTCCAGGGTAGGTCTAAACGGTGAGTAAATACGCGCGCGATATTGTTTTTCTGTGACAGACAAAATTCCACGCGGGCGAAGCCGCGGGCGGAAAGCTAGTAAATAATAATGCGGCAAAAATGCTAGGTAGTTTATAGAGATTGCTAAGACTTGTTCTATTTTTGTTAGGGTCACAGTAAAAGTTGATCTTATTCATTTTATTTTAAAAAACTACATGAAAAGCTTTAAAAACAACTACAGTGAACATTTATAGACGAGATAACGTCAAAAACATATAAGCAAATACTTCAAGCTACAAGAAAATACAGCAATTTAGCGAAATAAAGATAAAATTGTAAGTGACAAGTAGCACGAAAAGCAAATACGTTTATCTAGAAAGTGTACTAAAGAAACACAAAACATAGAAACACGTATGCAACATGAATCGTATCGTAGATTGAAAATTACTGCTTATTGATATTTCAGAACACTCATTACATTCAAAATCTTACCTTTGATCCAGCAAATGTGTTAAACTTTAATACGTAATAGGTATCGATTTTACAAAATATGTTTCCAAGGGAACGTGAAACACAACAGTGGACTCTATTTCTAATGCCATAAGGACATGGAATCAATGAATATCTAAAACAAATGGTACAAATGAACTTGCATTTTAATGTTTTTTTCACCATCTTAAAGTGTAACTTTTATGATATGACGTTCAATGCATTACACATAGTGTTAAAATGACTAGATCTGCAACTCTATTTTTTCGTAAGTAAGCTTTTTTGAACATTAACATGGTATAATATGGTATTTTTTTATCGATGCCAAAGGTTAAAAAAAACATATTTACGTTTTTCCCGAAAAAAATCAAGGCTTATTGCAAATTATCATGTCATTACTATCAGCTGCAATGTGCGTTTAAAAATAGATTTAGTATCGCGACGCAGCCCGCACGCAAAAACACGCATGCGGATACTTCGTGAAATTAGCTACATGACAATGATTAATGTTACGATAGCATAAAAAGCACCAATATTGAACAACACTGCAAATAAAATAATATAAGAGATAAAATATAACATTAAAATTCCCAATGGTGTCCGATTTAAAATCAACTTATGGACTTAGGTTTGTATAAAATTATGCAGTGAAATTACACAGAAAAGGAATAACTGCACCACATTTTTGATGCACCTTCCTATGAAACTAAAAAAAATAAACTGATAATTTCCAAAAACATTGCTGTTAGGTCTAAATCGCTTAATATAATGGTAAACGAAGAAAAAAGAGAGCATCATAGCTGGATGGAAATTGCATACTACTTAGTTGGAGAAAGTTCAAGTTATCTTACTTAGATAGAATTGTTACACAACACTGTTGTACATGTTATCTGAGATTTTACTTCATATTTATAGTCCTAGTTTCTCAAACCTATTAACATGAAAAAGCTCATTCGGTTTATCGTAAGATCTGGCGCTTCGCAAGTCTATGGCTTAAAGTTTTACGGTCGCGGCGAGGCCGCAGCGAAGTTTCCACATAAACGCTTCAACTTTCCTACGCTAGATGAAAGTGCAGTCACCTTTCAGGCTTTCTAGGGAACGTAGGTCTAGCCAGCTTACTGGAAAATGTTTTCGACTGACTCAGATTTCCCTTCGGAGAAACATAGACGCAATCTAAATATGTGGTGCTAGCAATTATCTTCGCTGTAACTGCTGTGAGTCACATTACAACCATGGCGAATATTTCCATCAAAATGCCTGGTATTCTTGTCTAGGCCTCCACCAAAGAACAATGGTATTTGCTGATACTTCAACAGACTCAAAGAAATAGAAAATCTTGATAAATACTAATAAATTATACTTGGATAAATTATATTGTGTTTTGAAAATAATAATGACGCTTCTACTAACGGAACATATAGAAATTGAAAATTTAGAGGTCCAAGAAAAAGTGGTTCAAATTGATGAAGACGGTGATGTCAAAGGTATGTAAATATAAATATTTCAATGACAAGTTCAAAGTTATTCGATCAGAAAAAAACTGTAAGATTAAACATCCCCAACAATTTGTAATTATAAGTCTCCAAAAACTAAAGACCTTTTTAATCTTGATTATTGGTCTGACCACCTATAAACCAATATTTGATTATTGAACTTAAGCAATATGAATAGTTTTCTGATATAATAATTTCTCAGCCGAATAAATCTAATGTGTAAATTTTCGGGTTCGTGGAACTCCATAGCGTGACTATCAAAACAACAAATAACTTCCATAAACCATCTTCGCCAATCTATCCATTTTATGTCTCCAAACATTTCCCTAATAATTCGCATAAGTCATGGTTTGACGTCACCAATCACCTGATAAGGTTTTATTCGATCGCACGAATTCGTGTTCCAATAGCCAAAAGTAGGAGCCCTTCAGTCAGTTTATTTCGGAACGTGGCGCGGCCAGGTTACCGCCTGCAGTAGATAATAACTCGACGAGCGATATAAACCGTACTGTAGCCATGGTGACACGAAGACTAGCGTCACAGCCGATAAGCAAAATAGTGTAGCGTTTAGGCTGTGAGAGAAACAGTTGCGGATGTTACTTCTAGATCCAAACCCTAAGATGTTATGGTGGAAACAGCTCGAATGCATCCAAGACAACGTCATGATGATCCAACGAGAGGAAGAACGTAGACGACAGTACATAAATAACACAACAGTCACTTTCACGTTGCCCACCAGAGATCCTGTGTTACAAGATAATTTTCTAATAGCTAATTTAGAACAAGTGAAATCGTTACAAGCTTCATTATTTCCTATCTATACCAAAGGTAAAATTCACAAATGAGTTTTTGTAATAGCAGAATGCCATATTCTTTATGTTACACTTAGAAATCGAAAGATGAACTCCGTAATCAGTTAGGGGAATGTGGCAAAGGTAGTTTTATTAGTTTTGCACTATCACGGCATGTGCAATCATCTAAAGTGTTATGTTATCCAATAAAATTTTAACTAGACTTATTGCTACAGGGACGTTTATTTCGAACTTTCTGCAAAATAACATCAAGACCAACCAGTTAGAAATCAATACAGATATAAGAACATTTCGTACGACAGCAAAGTTAAAAGAGCCCCGTGATTTGTTTGCATTACCCAAAGAACTCGACTGCCCCCAACAAGCACCAAGATGGCCTTCAGAGTGTCAAGTGAGTAACCCCTACTATTTATTACGCCACTTATTTACAAATTGCATTCGAGAAAAGTTAGGTTTGTTTTTTATAGGTGGTGGAAGAAAGGATACAGCACATAAGCTGGAATCCTGCTTCTCCAGAGCCATACTACATTCAGACAGGAAAAGAACTTAGGCCTCAACCAGTGGGCGAGGAAGCTGGCACAGTAATATTTCAATACTACCCAATGAGTGCTGTCAACTACGTAAGTTTTTTGCGTCTTACTCCACCTGAAGTTTCGCATTCGTTTACTACGATTTGCCATGGATCAATACAAGCATTATAAAATTTACATATGTACTACTTAGTGAAGTTGTTCAATGTCAGGGATGTCGTGGCGACATCACGTAATCTTACAGGCATATTTTATTAAACAGGGTTTGTACTTTGATATTAACACATAAAAGCCAATATGCTGGCACTTCGAGGTTGTGCGAGACAAGCAAACAAAAATAAACTTACAATTTAGGGACTCTATTTTTATTGGGCATAAATGTGTTTTTAGTTCAGTCGGTCAACTGTCGGGGGATCAAGATTATTTCTATCAGCGTGTGCCAGCGCAAGTCCCACTGCTGGAAGCGAGGACGAATTGCGCTTCGAATCTCGTTTCGAAAGTGGAAACCTAGCCAAAGCAATACGGATAACATCAGCCTATTATGAACTACATCTAAGAACGGACTTGTATACAAATAGGCATATGCAATGGTTTTACTTTCGAGTTACTAACACGAAAAAACAAATGATGTATAGGTATGTATTGAATAATACCATTAGGAAACGCCACCTCATGTTTAATTCAATTAATGTTACATTTACAGGTTTTCAATTGTAAATTTGTCAAAGGCGGAAAGCTTATACAATGAAGGAATGCGACCTCTGCTATATTCGACCAAGGACGCTCAATTACATTCAATTGGATGGAGAAGATGCGGTGATAACATCGCATATTACAAAAACGATTCAACGTAAGTCATACAACATTACGTGCAATAATTGTGATTAAATAAATTCACAAAACTTTTATGTATTTCCAGGTCTGAAGAAGAGGAGCAATTTCCAAGCTATACTTTGACATTCAATATAGAATTTCCTCATACGGACGATGCTGTTTACATCGCGCACTGCTACCCTTACACGTACTCAGATTTGCAAGAATACCTATCGAGACTTCAGGCACATCCCGTCAAATCAACGTATTCTAAGCTTAGACTTCTTTGTCGAACGCTAGCCGGTAATAATGTTTACTACCTAACTATTACTGCTCCGCCAAATCCCAATGAATTAGAACAAAAGGTAAACTAGTATTTTTAAGAAGATCTATCTCTAGTTATTTAATTAGTTGTCAACCTGAATAAATAAACTTTGCAACATTTGCAGAAAAAGAAAGCTGTCATAATAACAGCAAGGGTGCACCCTGGAGAGACGCCTTCCTCCTGGATGATGAAAGGCTTCATGGACTATTTGACAGGAGATTCTAATCAAGCACGAGAATTACGGGAAAAGTTCATATTCAAACTGGTTCCAATGTTGAACCCGGATGGTGTAAGTGGTCAGCGAGATATTGTTCACACACAAAATCATACTAGCGCTAAAATTGTTGTCTATTGTTAAAGGTTATTGTTGGAAACAACCGTTGTTCGTTGACAGGAAAAGACCTAAATAGACAATATCGCACTGTAATAAGGGAAACATATCCTCCTGTATGGCACACTAAAGTTATGATTCGAAGGTTAGTGTCCAGTAATGATATTATCAGGGTTCGAGGATATATATCAAGGGATATATATCAAGATATATATCGGATATATATCCGATATATATCAAGCCGGTTTTGATGATATATATCAACTTTTAAAATTTATTACTGTATTTGTGCTTTTTGACATAAGATTTTAATTTTTTTAGTTCATTTTGCCGTATTTCAAAGAAATTTTATGTTTTAGCTTTATTTCTCTGATTTTAAGTTTAAAAACATTGAAAACATGTTTATGTAACACTTATGTAATAGTATTCATGAATATATGGAAATAGTATGGCTTTCATACAAAATTGATATATATCAAAGTTGATATATATCCGATATATATCATAAATATCCGAGATTTTGATATTTATAATAAATATCGGATATTTTCGAACCCTGGATATTATTACAATGAAATTCAATAAGCTTCCGAACTTTATTTTTAATCAGATTGCAGGAAGAATGTGGAGTTGCTATGTACATAGATTTACACGCACATTCGCGAAAACATAATGTGTTCATTTATGGTTGCGAAAGCAGAAGAAATTCTGATAAACGTTTACAGGAACAAGTGTTCCCTCTGATGCTACATAAAAATGCAGCTGACAAGGTATTTTTACATGTTTTCTCCCAAAAAAGGAAGCATTTCTCATCGAGGATTATCATGTATGTAGAAGATTTTACTTTTCAGTTCTCTTTTGAAAACTGCAAATTCCGAATACAACGGAGCAAAGAAGGCACAGGACGGGTAGTCGTTTGGATGCTGGGAGTTGCCAATAGTTACACCATGGAAGCATCTTTTGGAGGATCAGAGTTGGGCAGTAGAATGTCGACACACTTCTCCGTGCAAGACTATGAGAGCTTGGGCAAAACATTTTGTGAAACTCTGTTAGATTTCTATGACGAAGATCCTGGCAAAGAGAGGCTCCGAACGAAAATTGTGACTAGACTCCTGAAGGAAGGATCCAATGCTGATGAGCCCACAAATATTGATTTATCAGATTATTCAAGGTCGGTAAATGGACCAAATAAACTGAGTATTTTTTTTCTTTACAGATGATTTATCTGTGCCATTCATTATTACAGTGACGAAGGAGATACATCAAGTAGTAGTTCAGAAGCTGGAGCCACTAGAGAGCCAGTGGACGTTGCTCAGCCAGCACCACCGCCTTCACCATTATTTCCCGATATTAATAGAAATATTGCAGGGGTAAATATGAACCAAAATATTACTTTTAACCAATTTTCTTATATTAAACAGTTAACGAAGACGAATTAACAAACGTTTTTCTTTCAGACACCAAGAAGACCTCGTCCAAGACTAGAAAAAATCAAAAGAATAGAAAAGAGAAATCCGAAAAGAGAAACATTACAGGTATCATGTACATTTTACATTGTTAGTAGTACCTACTTTGTTAAATAGGGAAGTGATCGCTATTGGAAACGATTACGAAATTAAATCTGTAACGAATTTTGTTGTACCTACCTATTACTTTGCCTGTACTTATATTCAACGAGATTCTATTCAAAGTATATTCGTTTGTTCATAGGTTTCAAGGGCTACAATAGACTTGACTTCAGATGCAATGACTGATGGATCATCCGATGGAGAATCAGAAGAGAACCTGAGCCCAATTAGAAGAGTACATAAATTACTGCATTCTACAGAAAAACCCAAACCAAGGAGAAAAAAGAAAATGCCACCTGAATTGAAAATAATACCTGCACCGGTAAATATTTTCTACATTAATTTACTATAACATAAATGATACTGAATCAAAACTTATAGAAAAACTTTTGGTTTCAGACAAGCGACGAACCGTATCATTCAGATCGTGAAAAGAAAATCCCAAAAAGTTCAAGACCTCGAAGCGTATCCATGTTTAACGAAACGACAGAGAAACCCAAACTAAATCCTGCATCTTGGCATCGTTTTAGATGCCTTCCTCCGCCAAAGTAAATAATATTATCTCCACATATATTTTTCACATATTCTTTTCATACAACGTGTCCCAAAATTCAAAGATAAGCCGGCGCTGTAGGGTTAAATGGTCATGACAACTTTAGGAAAAAATAAAAAAAAATGTATCTTAATTTTTTTTAAATTACACAATACCTAAATTATGAATCTTCGAAAATTGGCACCCTTTTTGATATTTTCTTCAAATGTTTATTCATTTGTTTGTATCGGCAACATAAGTCCTGCTGTCCACACACTACTCTTAAAAGGCCCAGAATTTTTGCAGTTTTTACACAAAAAAATGACAATTTTTTTTTCTTATTTGTCCTAAAGTTGTCATGACCATGTCCACCTTACGGCGCCGGCTTATCTTAGAAATTTGGGACACGATGTATAATTTCATTAACATTTTAGGCATTTATCAGACATTAAAAGCAGAAACACTCAACCATCAGAATTGCAAGTAAAACTAAATTCATTAAAACGGAATATATGGACTGGACTGCAGACGGAAGAGAAAGGGCCCTTATCATGGGGCATTTCTAGTTTTGCAATGAATTCTTATTTCACTGATAGTGAATCTTTGCTCAGGTGAGATATAGCAGTACTACATTTTGTCCTGGCTAGTTCAGAAGCCGTAAATACATAGTTCATTCATACAAAATCTAAAAAATGTAGTAGGTACCAATCTGTCACCATTTTCTAATAAAAATTGAAATAATTTAGGTCCTGTTCCAAAAAATTAGAAGAACTAGAAGGTGAAAAGAAAAAAAGCAAAGAAGAGAAGAAAAAGAAGAAATCTAAGACCAAGAAGATACCATTAAAAGTGCCAAATACTGTTGAAGATATTTTAGAGCCCTTAAGTAAATTGCCAAAGACATTGAAAAAGAAAGGAAAGTGAGTAAAATATTAATTTTAGGACTAAATAATCAATAATTGTACTTATTTAAAATCTTATTAGCAATTATTTTTTATTTAAACTGTTAACATGCTGGTAAAGGAATACTAATTAGACACTATTATTCCCACTTCAAATACCTAAATAACTATATTTTCACTACACATAGTATTTTAGCATAATATCAATAAAATATGTGTTAATAAAACAATAATAAATTCTTTCACAGATTAAAACATTCAAAATCAGAAAATTCCCAATACATGCATAATCCAAGCTTTACTGACATACCAAAAAATACAAATGTACAGAAAACCAGTCCTACAGATACAAGACAATCCAAAAGCCGCTTCAGAAAAAGTGCATTTGTAACAACAGCGATACAAACGAAGAAAAGTACAAAAACAAACCGCCAGGTGATATCGGACAACACAGACTCAGATGACTCAGTACAATCAATAAAAAAAGCAAAAAAGAAAACTAAGAGCACAAAACCAAAGCTACACAAAGCTGCCTCTGAAAGTAAATTTAAGACGTAATGTATGTGTAAATGCCAACATAAAATATATTTAAAACTTTTACTGATAACCCCAGAAGAGACTTGCCTTACTTAAAAATAGATGTTCTTATTACTGTGCACAGTCTTTCCAGTATATTGTATAATGATAATGAGACAATTTATGTATATAAATAGTTATCTATGTATACTTATAGACCTAAGTATAGTGATGTATAATGTGCAAAATTTTGTTAATGGGTTGCAGTACATTGCATTACATATCAAAAATTAACTGTGTTAAATACATGATCGTCCAGATAACTATATATTATTTAAAAACATGAATATAATAAAGTTTTAAACTGAATGCAACAACACAAAGCACATGCAACAAAGCTTTGTAACAACATTTGTAGACTTTCTAATAAAATGATTTTAATCATAAGTGTGTTTATATTGTTTTATAACCTTACTGTAACAGAAAAACATTCATAGCTTGATGTTTTCGATCATTTAAATTACCAGTAGATGCTGTAGTCCGTACTTTTATTAGGAATGATTAAATTGATACTTACAGTTTATTAACTATAAACAAAGCCTTTCGCTCGGTTACAAAAAACACAAAAACGTGTTACATAATCAGAAAACATGTATTATGTACTTACTGGGTAAATAAATGCTTAATTTAACCCCAATCACCTAAGTAATCTAAAAATCTTCAAACAAACAATACAAAGAAAAGATTATTATACCAATAACTTACTGGATTGATACGCCACAGTTTCTCTAGTGATGTTATAAATTATTGAACCAGTTCTATAAACTTTTTCAAGAATTATTACAAATACAAATAAAAGCAAAACTTCTTCAGTTTCACAAAGTTCATTGACACATTGAACTGTCAAAAAAAACGTTTGACAACGACAAGTGAAAATTTTGACATTTTGTTTCTTTTTGTCTTTTGTAAAAGTAACAGACTATCACATAATAGCATGAGCTCACTTTATCTAGCATTAGCTCACTTAAATTATTTTTATTGGTTTCTAGTCAAATAATATGTAATACAAACTACAACTTAGCAAATTGAAACAAAATTACACTTATAATCAAAGAAGATTATAATGAAATAAAAATTATATCGTTTCTATTTTTATTTAATGAACTATAAAAATAAACTAGTAACTAACACGAATTAGTAAGCCAGCTAGATTGCGTCAAATTCGTAGAACTGGAACAAAATGCATTCAACACTGGTGTAGTCGCGGAGAAAGCAAGAATTCTGAGTTCACCGCTTTGTGAAAACTGCAGCGCGTTGCTAATTCTGGATCCAGATGTTGATGAACCAGGTATTTGGGGATCTCCTGTGATTGGATTGAAGCTGCTGCAGCGGGTTTTCGCCAATAAACATGATGTTACGTTTGTATAAAACCGAACATTGTCAGCATCTACCGTTATATTAACACCAGTTCGAGCTTCTCTGGTGCATTGTGTGATCTGCGTAACAAGATATAATTACAAACACATGAAAAGTAGCTAATATAGTACCAACCATTATTAATTTAAGAGTATAAAGTTAGTTTTCTAGTAAAAACAATCTTTGACCAAAATAAAACAGCCTTAGCTGCAGATTTTTGGGTATGGAGTTCGTGCTTTGCTTTTCGACAGTGTCGAAGAGTGCCACTCCGTGCCTGCTTGTAAAGTTACTTTAACTAAGTTTTACATACCAAGTTAATGGAATTAGTTCTTCTTAAGCAACGAACGAAATCACAATAGCCCATATAGCAACCAGAGGGCTGTACATTAAGAGCTGACGTTGACAAAGCCTGAAAAATAATTCCGGTTATTACCTATTAATCTAATGAAAAAGAAAACATAAATGAAACCTAGATGTAAATCTTACCGCCAATGAAGTTGCACAAGCAGCATATGAAGTGTTAACAAAATATTGTGAAGCACAAGCACTCAGAGCAGTTAATTCTTGCGGTCCCTGACAAAACATAGCTTATTATTATTATAAACAAATTACCTGAAGTAAATTCATTAATATGAAGAAGTTTATAATAAATAGCATGAAAACTTATTCCGGGTCTTCTATACCTACTTATAATAAATCTGTAGAGAGGTCAATTCTGTACATGAAAATATATATTTTCAAAATAACTATCAGGGGTTGATTAGTGATCGATACTGATGCCAAAAATGCAATCAGTAAAATTTTTGTCTGTCTGTCTGTCTGTCTGTCTGTCTGTATGTTCCTTATAGAAACAAAAACTACTTGACGGATTTTAACGAAACTTGGTACAATTATTCTTCATACTCCTGGGCAGGCTATAGTATACTCAGGAATTCCCACGGGAACGGGAATTAGCGGGAAAATTCTTTTGTATGAAAAATCTAAACCGCTTAAGTTAGACGCTTGAAATTTGGCATGCAGGTACCTTAGTAAACTTAAAGCTTAGTAACAACAGGATATTGCAAAATTCCCACGGGAACGGGAGATAGCGGGAAAAAACATTTGTATGAAAAAATCTAAACCGCGTAAGATAGATGAAGGGGGTAAACGGGATCCACGCGTACGAAGTCGCGGGCGGCCGCTAGTCCTAAATAAATTATTAAATCGCGCATAGGCTTAACTTCTAAAATTACGTCATAACTGTGAGAATTTGGTATGAGTAACTTGGACTAGCATACAACTTTTTTTAAATGAGCTAATAAACCTCATAATAGAGGACAGATCGAAATAGGTAGGTACTTACCTCCGACATTGCTGTTACTCGACTAAAACACGTGATACAAGCATCTCTTAAAGTAACATTAGTGGGTTGAGCTGTACTGCATACAAGATTGAGTAAATTTTGAAGCTGAGCTCTGTTAACCAAAACAAAATAAAGTTAATATGCAACCCCTTAGGGAGAATAAAATTATTGAGAACGTTATTCATCATTCTATCTTAAATTAAAGGCAGTAACTAGACCCTATTAATCAAATCCGATTACATCATTCACCAAAATAATAATTGAGCCATACCCATTTGAAGGACAAAGTGCAGCAAGCTTCTGAGTTTTCCACTGTAATAATTTATTCTTTACATCCGTCAAATCAAAAATTCCATTTGTAGCTACGCCAATCTATAACAAGACACTGCATTAATCTTTAAATGAAAAAAGCCTTAAGAATCTGATTCAAAGCAGAAATAATGTAGCTAACCTCGCTAAGGTTTAAGAAATTGTGATTCTTCCATTGTAATATAGTTTTTTGAACTTCGTTTAAATCAACAAGAGTGCCTTTTGTCTCGATCTGTAGAACGATAGAAACTGCATGCAAACGAGTTTATACGAAATGATGAACTATTTAGATAGATTTTAATATAATTATGTCCGATAAACTTACACAAGCCATAACAGCAGCAATTGAAAATAAATAAATTTTCATTATAATAAAATTAGTATGAAAAATAAACTTTCTTAAACAACAACCATATTCTGCAACGTTTGGTTGCGTACTAAAAGTAAAATATATGAGAAAGGAATAATAATACATCCATGCAATCATTTAAAAATACAATACAGTTAACCCAGTTATTTAAATACAATGTTGAATTTGTTTGACACATTTGCGGTGAAAATTACCGATCATCAAGTCCATTATCAATGCGTGACCAAAATTTAACACTTCCGTTTATGCATAATAGGTAACAACCATGAAAGAAGTTGTGTAATTTTAGTTTAATATTTTAGTATTCTGCTAGATTTTTTGAAGCAAAACAAAGTTAAACTTTTTGCCGCGTAAAAAAAGAACCGAACCGGAAGCATCAGTGCATAGACACGAATTTCTTTTACCGATTTTTACACTAGTGTGTAGACTCCTTAAAATTATTGACAGAAAAAATGGCGACGACCTGACGTTCAAATAATTTAGAAATTGTCTCATGTGATTGATTGGTTTTATGAGGTTGGGTGATAACGATCGTTGTTTTATTTTATTTATTTAATTTTACCCTTTCTTATGATGATTGAAGGTCGAGCAAATGTGAGTATTTAATTGATAAACAATATTCTATTTGTCCACTTTTTTAAGTACCTATACTTAACCTATTTGTTTTGCAGGAACTACCCGATTTCCAGGTTTTTCGAACAGTTATCAAATACTGTTTGGTGATCATAATAGTACCCGTCCTGGCGTTCTTCTCCGTGAAGGTGGTTCTTTTCGATGGACTATTACGACTAGAACCAGTTACTAGCAGTGTGTATTCCGCAGTTATAGCGGTTATCGTTCTGCATGTCACGTTAGGGTTGTACATTTATAAGGCGTACAGTGAAACTGATAAACCGTCTAAACCTGTGAAGAAAGATTAATTAAATTACACTTTATTGTATAAGCCATTACCATGGATAACTTATACATGAAAGGTGAACTGTTACAAGTTCACACAAAGAATTCTGAAGTTATTGAAGGCAGGTTTTACAGCATGAACAGTGACAAATCCAAAATTTCTCTCTACAACATAAAAGAAGATGAAGGGATCAAATGTGAAGGGGTGTGTCATTACTACAACTCAGAAATCAGAGACATAGTCAAACTGAAGGAAGATGATCAGCCAAAACATCTGAAAATCTCACAGAAAGAATGCGAAGATATAATAAAGGTTGCAAAGAAGTATATTTACATAAACCAAGTTGATAATAGTTTCCATGAGGCTATGGATGACTTGCTGTCATACGATTATATCGGACTCAGCACTGACGGTGCCAACATGGGACGCAAATGCAAAATGCCTTTCGTGGTGTTGTCAACTCCACAACAAATCTACATATTTGACACACAAGTGATGCAGTATCACGCGTTTGATGCCGGATTAAAAAAAATGCTTGAAGGCAAGAGTCCTAAAAAGATTGTTCATGATTGCAGAAAGATATCAGATAGTTTGTATCATAAGCACAATGTGAAACTGAATTCTGTATTTGACACTCAGGTAATGTTTATTTCAGTGTTAATATAGTAATTTCACTAGATAGAACACCTTATTTAAATCAATATTATTGTTCCAGGTGGGAGACTTGATTATATCAAAAAATAAGAATGGCTGCTTGCCAAATACAGTGAAATCATTATCAGAATGTTTGACTACTTACCTTGGTCTCCAGCCTAGTATCATTGAAGAGAAGGTAAATAATTACTTAGTGCCATGTTTATGTGGAAATAAATCTACTAATATTATAAATGCGAAAGTAACTGTCTGTCTTTCTTTCACGCCTAAACCACTGAACCAATTTTGATGAAATTTGGCATAGAGATAGTTTGAGTCCTGGGAAAGGACATAGGATAGTTTTTATCGCAGTTTTTTAAACAGGAACATGCGTGATAAAGTTTTTCTGTGACAGACAAAATTCCACGCGGGCGAAGCTGCGGGCGGAAAGCTAGTAAAATATAATTCACATTTCACTTTTTTATGAATAAGAAAAGTCCTATTTTTAATTTACTTTCTATGATTTCTCTTTTGACTACAATGTTTCTAATTGGATTAATGTTTAACTTGATATCTTCCATTTTCTTCTAGAATGGACCATGATTATCTGACCGTTTAGGCCTAATATCTTTTAAAATAAAATATTACTTTTTTTTCAGCTTGACATAGTGCAATGCACTGAGCGACCACTCTCCGTGAAGATCAAGGAAACTCTTGCAAAGAATATATCCTATTTGCATCGTCTCTCAGAAATGATAAATGATGAAATGGCTCTCCCATTCATCAGAGGGGTTGAATGCTTCGTAGAAAACCTACGTTCCTCTGACGATTTTAAAGCATGGGAGCTTTGTGGAAAACATAATCAAGTACCAAAAGATTTCAAAAGCGCTATTGAGTATTAATTTATTTTGTGTAAGACATTCCGTGGAATAAAATGTAATGTAGAATTAGTTTTATTTTTATTTTGCTCCTTTTTTTCTACCGCTTTTTCAAAGTAGTAACTTCAGTAGATTTAAACTGTTTGATGCAAGTAAATTGTGTGATTCAAGCTTGTAGTTTTAAGAATGCTATACATTGCAAGCTCTTGTGGCAATTACTGGAGGCTCTGGATCATCTACGCAATGGGAAGTACTACTTAGTGGCCAAATGGAAACATTGTTAATGCATAAGTTTGTCCACACAATGGCTCTTGATGACTTTGAATCTTGTGAGATTTATTTGTAACAATTCAAAGATAATATGAATTAAAGGTAACAATTATTACTTTGTTGTCAGTAGTAGTCTTGGACTTGTGCAGATTACCCGTTGCTCATTGTGTAGAGGAATTATTTCAAGGAAGAAGAGCGTAATAAAGTCACGTGACCCTTATACTTACAATCGGGCGCCCTTTTAGCCCTTCTACACTGCACAATTTTTCTTTTTTCACTAATAAGTTTAAACATTTCTAGTATCGTCTAATGTGCTTGGCATTGTGTGTAAAATAAGGTATAATCAATTGTCCAAATATAATCCATTAAAAATTAACTTTTGGATAGGATAATGTTTGTTACATAATCATCACATAATTTTGACGAAGGATCATACATATTTAGATAAGAGATATTTAACATGGGCGAGGTAGCGATGTAAGATGTTGGCATAATGTCATTCATAAAATAATCAACACAAAACTTAAAATGTACTTATTATGCTTGTGTTATATCTGTGATCAGCCAGTGCAAATATTATGTATTTTTGTATAAGTTTGATAAAATTCGTAACAGTATTATAATATGAAACAAAGCTTTGTATTAGAGAAGTAGGGTTTATTGCAAAAAAATAATTAATCAATTGATACATTTCATACCTTTCTACTTAATGTAATTTTTAAGGAACCCATTATAGTAATTTAGTAAGGCATGTTGGTACAATGTAACCAAAATATAAGATGGATATATTTTTGTGAGATGGTTTACAAATGGTATGAAGATTTTTAACTTTTCACATAAATATAACAATAGCTAAAAGCTTTTGTGAAGTTAGGACGCCTTGCTATTCATAATAAATCACATTCTGCGCTTAACTTGTTCTATTATTTCTATTACTTCCATTAATATTATTCTTATAAGTTCTTTTCGGCGGTTTGATAGGTGATTGAACTACCGAGCTTTTTATTTTACGGAAGACGCGGATTCGGTCCCGGAATATAATTTTGATATGAAGTTGTACAAAGTTCACAAAACAAGTTTGACACTAGATGGCGCTGTAAGAGTTCAAAGAAAAATAAAATAAGGTTTTCTCTGCCAGTTAACCTTCGGGCTATACAAAAAAGATCGCTTAGCGATGATTTAAAAAGCAAAAGAATAAATACATACCTACATATATGTATAAACTTAAACAGTAACAACCATCATGAATTTTCTGTATTTTTATTAGAAACTATTTAACATGGTAATATAAATATGAATATTAAGAAGCCTGTTTCAAAAACAAATTAGGATAGAAAGCTAATCCCTCAATGGATTCATCACGACACGCTAGCCCTAAGCGTTCTGTGATGAGCAGGTGCTCGCGTGCAAGGAGGACGGATACGTTTGCGATCTGCGACAGCTTCACTGGAGTGAGGTAATTATTGTCTTCCAGCTGAAACAACAGGAAAGTTTTGCAATGGGATTAATAAGAAAATATGCACGAAACTTACCCATACCAGTTTAGTTACTTTTCATGAGGTCAAATGAATTAAGTACATCAAAAGTCAATAGTCAAATGAGTTAAGTACACCAAAAGCCAATAGCAAGACTATTGACTTTTGGTGCACTTAACTCATTTGACCTCTGACTCACTTTGAGAAGGTTTTCAAGACAAGCACAATACTTTCTGTTAAAATAAAAGTCATGGCTTAGTAACTAAAAATTTGTTTATGAATAAAGGGAACAACAATTACCATTTCACTTGTAGTTTTGGCTACTTCTTCATCCCTGTGACCGTTTAGCTGAATCACGCAGGCGCCGCTAGGAAACTTGCGAAGTGACATCGGGGCTCCGATCGTTTGTAATAATCTAAAATCAAAGGTAACTTTTATTTGATACTATTGACAGGTTATAAAAAAAATCTCTGAACAAAAAAGTTATGATTACATTAGCGTATGGACTAGGGTTCTATTTCAGGGGGGCCTGGCCCCTGATATGCCTCATCAGACGATTAGTATCATAGCTCATGAGTTAGTACTATCAACTATCATCTTCAAATCAGTAGTCCGACATCTTGGGGGGGCTGTGGGAGGGGCACCAGACCAATCATATACTTATGCGCATGAATGAAGACCAACTTACTTGCAAGCATTCAATAAATCCTCGGGGGAGATAAGCTCTAGGCCTCTGGCTCTGTTCACTCTGCACCATACATCAGCTAATGACATAATTCCTCCACATTCCTGTAAATTATAAAAAAAATAACATTCATGAATAATTTTTTTTAACCCATACTAATCCAAAAAGTCATTCACTTATCTTTTTATTCATATTTTCTTTTATCCTGATTGGAGATAACATAGAAATTAGTTAGAAAAAGAGTGCATGAGTAAGTTAAATTGTCTTACCATCAACACAGCAACCATCATATCAGAAATCTGCTGTGAAAGACCCATGTAGTAGTCGGAGTCTGACCTAAAAGTGTCTCTAGTCACTGGATCATCAATACCCAGACTCATCAGGTAAGATTTGAACCTAACCGTGTCATCTTCGGAGATATCACCTTGCTTTTCCTGAAATTATCAATCATACATTTCATTTAGGAAATTCTTATGGTGTAAGAATTTAAAAATACATAAAAACAATTAAAGTCAGTTCTCTTCTTACCCTGATTTTAGTAGATATATTTTTGGATATGACAACCATGTCTTTAGCTTTTTCCATAAGCTTAGTCNGAGTAGTGTAGAGCGCAGAGCCCCGATTACGGTAACTTTTATCGTCAACAATCCAGACACGCTTCTCGATTCTGCGATACGATTGGTCGTTCAACAGCGTACGTCAGCTGTTTTGACCAATCGTATTGCAGAATCAGAAACGCGTCTGGATTGTAGACGTTAAAAATTACCGTAATCGGGGCTCAGAGCCCCGATTACGGTAACTTTTAACGTCAACAATCCAGACACGCTTCTCGATTCTGCGATACGATTGGTCGTTCAACAGCGTACGTCAGCTGTTTTGACCAATCGTATCGCAGAATCAGAAACGCGTCTGGATTGTAGACGTTATAAAAGTTACCGTAATCGGGGCTCTGAGCATGCAAATAGTATCTCTTTTGTTATGACTTCGATTGTTACGTTATTTAGCAATATTACTGTTTTTATTTTATCAGGATATACCTCTTAGTGTAAAAGTTATTACGTTTTCTTTACATTAAGTAATCGGAAGGAAAAAAATTCTATAAAAAAAAACCCTCTAAACATTTTTGACCTCTTTTTTGTCGATAAAAATAGGTTTAGTTTCACCTATTTTCATATGTGTACTTTATCGTGACTGACACACTGTATAAAGAAAGTATGCTAAATGAGTAACGCAAAACAATAAGCGAAGTGAGAAAAGAAAAGAGAATTTTGAACGAAGTTCTTTAGTAATAAAGTAATAAGTTAAAATTTTATTTATATTTTTTTGCAATAAACTTTCATATGTACTATCACTCCAGAGATGGGCGTTGTTTTACAAAACCACACCCTGTATACATGGGTAGAACGCAGCCGTAGGAAACTGCTCGTGTATATTTTGTAATACTCTTCGTAAATCTGCGACTACAGTACAAAGTAGACACGAATTTTGCGTACTGAATACAGTCGTGTTTAATTTTTATTGTGGATGCTCGCTTCTCCGTTTCAAACTATACCTACTACACCACTTACACTTGACAAGAGTGTGAAAAAGTTAGTTTGATACTTATTCAGTAAAATATGGAATTAGATTTAAGAGTATTTTTATTTCTTATTACTTAAATAAATTTTATCGAATCAATATAAAACTAGATTTTTAACACTCTTGCGGGTAAGTGGTTTTTCAAAATAAACTGATTAGGTAGGATTAAATAAATAAATCGATAACATTTTTATTTAGAGTAGTAGGTACGCAGTATTTGCGTAACTGCTCATATAGTTTGGAAGAGTTTAGTAAAAAAAAGTTAATTCCAAACTATACTCGATTAGTTTCACACCCTTGCGTTCTGGCCATGTATAGAATGGAAAGACGCTACGTTAACAGCCTATTTGAATTGAACGTCTAGGAAAAATACTCTTTTACGAAACTTTTTTAACGCCTTTGTTCATCAGAAGAATCAATATTAGTTAGGATTTTTATTGTGTAAGAATTTTCGCAGCAATACCAACAAAAAATCAAATCCTTCCTTTTTCCTAATTAAAAAGTATTATAAACTCACGTTTTGTTTAGCAAAATTAGTGAAATGCGTGTTTTTACTCTGTATTGAGTCTCTTTTGTCTCTACTCTGTAAAGTAGTTTGTGTGCGATCGTGTTAGTTCGTTGCGCCACCGCTATCTCGGCTAGCAAATCGTAATTTTTCGTCGGCGCTGCACCCCCTTAAGGAAGACGCGAATTCAGTCCCAGAAATGGCGGGACCATTAAAGAATAGAATTTTAGTCTGGAAGTTGCAGATTGCTAGAAAGTTCATAAAACAAACTTTGTTAGTTTGACACTAGATGGCGCTGTATGAGTTCAAAGAAAAATCAATAAATAAGATTTTCTCTGCCAGTTAACCTTCGGGCTGAACAGAAAAAACGTTTAGCGATGCTTTAAAAATCAAAATAATAAATCCATACATAATTTAAACAGTAACAACCATCATGAATTTTCAGTATTTTTATTAGAAACTATTTAACATGGTTATACAGGGTGTTAGGTAAATGGCTATATGAGCCGACACTAGCCCATGTTAACATGGTTATATAAATGGTATGGTGAAGTCAGAAAATTGATATCTTCATATTAATTATTTTATTTTTCATACAAATCGGATTTTATAACATTTATTTTGAATGAAAATTTAAAAAAATAAAATGATGATATCAAATTTCTGACTTCGCCATACCATTTATATGCCCATGTTAACATGGGCTAGTGTCGGCTCATATACCCATTTACCTAACACCCTGTATAAATATGAATATTAAGAAGCCTGTTTCAAAAACAAATTAGGATAGAAAGCTAATCCCTCAATGGATTCATCACGACACGCTAGCCCTAAGCGTTCTGTGATGAGCAGGTGCTCGCGTGCAAGGAGGACGGATACGTTTGCGATCTGCGACAGCTTCACTGGAGTGAGGTAATTATTGTCTTCCAGCTGAAACATCAGGAGAGTTTTGCAATGGGATTAATAGGAAAATATGCACGAAACTTACCCATCTGGTATGTAGTAGTCTATAGTATTAGTTACTTTTCATGCATGAGGTCAAACGAGTTAAGTACACCAAAAGCCAATAGCAAGACTATTGACTTTTGGTGCACTTAACTAATTTGACCTCTGATTTACTTTGAGAAGGTTCTCAGGGCAAGCCCAATGTTTTCTGTTAATATATGATCATGGCTTAGTATCTAAATTTTTTTAATGGATAAAGGGAACAACAATTTATTACCATTTCACTTGTAGTTTTGGCTACTTCCTCATCCCTGTGACCGTTTAGCTGAATCACGCAGGCGCCGCTAGGAAACTTGCGAAGTGACATCGGGGCTCCGATCGTTTGTAATAATCTAAAATTAAAGGAAACTTTTATTAGGCTAGTTTCCTAAAAAAATATTGGACACGTATATTTTTATTTGTCAATCAAACGAAGTTATATGCGTTGAAATTTTGCGTGACGTCACAACGTGCTCCACTTTTAAGCACGCCTTGACGTCACGGGTCTATTCTTTTGAAGTTTCGCGCGCTTTATCTCTCAATTTTGATTAGTTTGTAAATGTGAAAAATATGTGTTGAGTATACATATTTTTTGATAAGTTAACCAATGGACTAATTCAAACTCTTGCTTTTTTACCCAGGACAGGAAACATCCCTATTATGATGAACAAAGACCAACTTACTTGCAAGCATTCAATAAATCCTCAGGAGAGATAAGTTCTAGGCCTCTGGCTCTGTTTACTCTGCACCATACATCAGCTAATGACATAATACCTCCACATTCCTGTAAATTATAAAATAATAAACATGAATTACATTTTTCTAATCCAAGGTATTCCAAAAATTCATTCACTCTTCTTTCCTTTTTTTTATTAATATTTTCTTTTATCCCGATTGGAGATTGGAAAGAAATTAGTTAGAAAAAGAGTGCATGGACTGAGCATTGTGTAAGTTAAATTGTCTTACCATCAACACAGCAACCATCATATCAGAAATCTGTTGTGAAAGACCCATGTAGTAGTCGGAGTCTGACCTAAAAGTGTCTCTAGTCACTGGATCATCAATACCCAGACTCATCAGGTAAGATTTGAACCTCACTGTGTCATCTTCAGAGATATCACCTTGCTTTTCCTGAAATTATCAATCATACATTTCATTTAGGAAATTCTTATGGTCTAAGAATTTAAAAATACATAAAAAGAATCAAAGTCAGTTCTCTTCTTACCCTGATTTTAGTAGATATATTTTTTGATATGGCAACCATATCTTTAGCTTTTTCCATAAGCTTAGTTAAGTCCTTAAAAGCCACACTTATACTTTGGTCAGTGGCTCTGTGCTGTTCTTCAATGCTTCTCTCAATACCAACAATTCCAGACCTAATTTTAGAGTTCACTGGAGTCACAGATGGTCTAGGAGTAGAACTGGGACTTGAGGAGCTCATCGGAGATGATATGGGAGTTGGTCTCTCCCAGGCTTTTGAAGCTATGGCATCTTGTAAGGCTTTGTAGAATGCAGGATCAATGCCATCCTTGAATGACAGCTTGATGAAGTGGTATGTGCTTACTACAGCTGGACCAGGTCTTTTACCTAAACAATGAAAGGGGGGATTTACTTTCATTCCACACAAATTAATATTGTAATTATGTAACAATTTATTTACCTGGAAGTGCTGGGGATAGATTCAGTATTATCCGTTTTGGGCCGCCAAGACCAAATACACCTCCACTCTCTTCTTCAATGAAGAAAACATAGTACAAATGAAGAGATAAACATACAAGTCCTTTTGGTATATCACCTGGCTTACCCCACAGTATTCTATGAGTTGTTAATACCACTTCCCCATCAATAAACTGTGTCTGTAACAATAAGGTCCTCAAATTGGTCATACATCATACATTGATCCAAATTATTCACATAAAGTAGATAAATTGGTACCTTGTCGTCACCATCGTATATTTTCACGTTTTTATCACGCTTAAGATAGTTTTCACCCTCGAAAAGGCGAGCTTCCATATACTCAAATCTATCCATGATTGAAAATAATATTTTTACCAAGTAATTATTTATCTAAACTTTTATTTCAATTTGTTTACACATAGTGCATGAGAGCTGAGAGGACAATCTTGAAGGAAAAATAAAAATCAGCTGTCAACTGTCAATTGAATTATTTTAACGTTTGTACAAAATTGATCCGTATGTATAGATGACCCACGCTGAACTGTCCCGCCAAACTCAATGACAGGGGGGCGCTACCATCGTTCAACTATATGGTTTCCAACATGGCAAAAATCTGAACCAGCGATCCGGTATTGACGGTGGCGCCCCACTGTCAATGTCATCGACAGGACAGTCCAGTATTTTGGAACTATATCGTCAGTTGCAGGTTCACTTGGGGTAACTGACAAAATACGGTTTTTGAGTTAAATATACAGTTTTTCTTAGTTTTTTCTGCTCTTTCGAATGGTATACGTAAAAAAATTCTAGCTTTAAAAAAAATACAATTACACGGACATTTTCAGGTGTGAACTTTTCAGATTTCCTTCACAATTTTGGTGTAACTGACATTGTAATAATTTTACCAGGTTGAATTGGTGTATCTGTAATCATGTAAAAATTTTGCTACAAAACTTTGCAATTACACTGATTTGCTAAGGTTTATAACATTAAATAAAATAGGAATTTAGAAAGTTTTAAGGCATATTACATTATTATTGTACCAGCAGTATCAGTTAAAGAAGTTAAAGTTAGCTCAACAAAAAAAAAATATTGAAATTGAGCAAACTATCCAGCCAACTAGGCGTCACTGCGCGTTGCTAACATTAACCTGTTGTTACTCTGTTACTTTTACTGTTGTAGTACTCATGACCTTAATTCAACATTGCTATAAAGAGGTGGGAAATTAAATCCATTTTGTTTTCAGTTTAAGTTGCCCCGTAGAGCTAAATACGGTATTGGTAAGTCAAAGCTTAAAAAAATATTGAAATTACTTAGTTTCACAGTAATACTTTAGTTATTTCAATATTTCTGTCTTAAAAAAATTAAATACACATATTTTCTTGATTTTCGTGGCTTTTTTATCATTTTTTAATGAATAAAATAAAAGTTACTTCTAATAAAATTTAAAAAAAAATAAAGAAAACGACAAAATGTTATTTTTTTCATGAATTCTCTTATTTGTTAATACTTTTACATAAATTATACAGCAACTAAGTAAACAAAACCCAGCAAATGCATCAAATTATTTTAATTTGGGCAGTACTTACATCAATTTGACCTATGTTTTTTCCAAAAGTATGGTGTAAAATTAGTGTAACTGTCAAAAGTACAAAAATACATTGGTGTAACTGCAATTTATTTCCTTAACTAAGACATATTAGATAATTCTTTTTATTTAATCGAAAACCGCGTAGAATTCTAAGCATTTCTGTAAAAACAGATCCAAAAAAGGTTAAATAGGAAAAAAGTTATGTCCGATTTAAGACGAAAAAAAACTTTAAACGGCTCTACTGAAAAACTGTATTTTGTCAGTTACCCCAAGTGAACCTGCAACTGACGATATATTACTTTATCATATCATTGGCATGATTTATACTTTTTTAATATTACCGGTTTTGAGATTAAGAATAAATACTGCAACTGGGCATCACTAGTAACCTTAAAATTTAAAATGTTCTGTCATTTATGACGTTTTACAGCTGGTTGGCTGCTGCATTTCTTCAACGTGAATTTGAAAGGAATGAACGGTGTCGTAAGCTTAATCATACCTGCAATTACCCACAAAGAACTTTTACTTGCACGATAAACCTTGAAGTGGTAGTTACGGAGCGGCTGGCGTTAGAGATAGTTTGTTGCAAAAATTGTTAAAGGAATATGGCTGAGTCTCAAGAAAGTTTATTACAGAAAGTTAAAGATCAGGGAGATCTAGTTAGAAAATTGAAGGCTGCAAAGGAATCTAGCGAGAAGGTAAGGCACATGGATTAACACTACGCGTTTTAGACCTTCATTGAGGGTATGTTTCATTCAAATTGCATCATCTGTGTATAACCCTAATTTTTGAATACTTGTAGGCAAAGAAGACTAATATAGAATATAATCTTGAAGAGATCAACAAATGGCTGTACCAATACAGTTACATTTGTGGATATACTCCTACCACTAGCGATATACAACTTTTTAACTATCTCGAAAAACATTTAGTTTTTGAATCATATCAGTACATTAAGAGGTGGTGGTACCATATGCGGAGCTTCAGTGTCTCTGAAATATCGAAATTTCCAACAACTCGACCTCCAGCTATAATGCATAAAATACCAAAAGTCAATATTGATTCTCTGAATGAGCAGGTTTGTTGCGTTGTAACAGCGTTTGTAGCCACTTTGTGAATTGGCATGGTCGTAATTGTAGTTTTTATGCTGCACATTTTCTTTGGTACACCCCTCTTATTATGCTAAATGAAACTCCACATATGGTTCTTTCGTCACCACATTTTTTTTTCTGTACAATTTAGAAGGTAGGAAGATATTTATGCTGATGTCATCATTATTTGTGATATTAAAGTGATGATTTGTCTTTTTCCGGTAATAAATTATGAAAATCAGTGGTGACGAGGAATCATATTGTTGTAGTTGGATGAGGTAAATCAAGCATGTCTATAAAATTGCTGGGTTTTGCAAAAAAGTGTGCAACTGTGTTGTATTCACGCAACACTGTTCTCAACAGCAATTTTGCTAAAACTATTACAACATCATCTTGCTGTAAGGTAATGGTAATTATTTAGCGCAACTATTTATTGCCTTACAACAAAAACTAAAAGCTTTGCTGGTGTTACTAGATGTTTCAATCCTATAGAAATAAAGCTGAATTAGATGTAGTCAATGAAAAAAAATTATGTACCTACCCTACTATTTGATATTTCTTGTAAAAATGTGAACCATAGTACATAGTTTGCTTCTGAATGTGAAATCACTATTTATGTAGCCCTTGCTTATTGGGAACATAATTTTGAGAACAAATAAATATATTTTTAAATTTTATAGATCCAGCAAGAGGTAGCAAAATTACTGGCATTGAAAGCTGAGCTGGCATCGGACGATGCAGGTCCTCAAAAATTCACACTCAAGACTCCCAAAGGGACTCGTGACTACAATCCGCAGCAAATGACAATACGAAATAATGTGCTGCAGAAAATCATTGAAGTTTTCAAGAAACATGGTGCAGAATGCATTGATACACCTGTTTTTGAATTGAAGGTAAGTTGGAGTATATTTTTAGATTGATATCTTATTAGATTCATACAGATTTAGATATTGGTTTCTAATAAGAAACCAATATCTGAAAATTCTCAATTTTTAAACTTTTTTGATGAATACCTACTTACTTAGAGCTCAAAATTCTACAGATAGGTACTTATTTTTAATTCTCTTATAAATAAATTGTACCTTAATTTTTCAGGAAGTGCTAACTGGCAAATATGGTGAGGATTCAAAATTGATTTACGATTTGAAAGACCAGGGAGGTGAAATCCTTTCCTTGCGTTATGACTTGACAGTACCGTTGGCACGGTATCTGGCTATGAGCAAGATCAGTACTCTGAAACGGTACCACATTGCCAAGGTGTACAGGCGAGACAACCCTGCTATGACCCGAGGGAGATACAGGGAATTTTACCAATGTGTAAGTAATACTTTTTGGTAATAAAATCTCACTAAGGATAAATAGACAAATATATGGGCCGTAATTTTCAAGACCTGGCCATAAACAAAATAAGAAAAAGAAGACAAATATTTTGAATTTTTTCAAATATCAGATTAAGGTCCAGTACTACAGAAAATGTATATTTTAGTTGCAAAATAGCACTTATTACAATGAGATAAGATGCCACTGTGTTAGCTTGATGTGCTGTCGTACATACTTTATACTTTTTTTTTTCAGGATTTTGACATAGCCGGCCAGTATGACATTATGGTCCCAGATGCAGAGTGCCTCAAAGTGGTCACAGAGATTCTGGACTCGCTCGACATTGGCAAATATGTACTGAAAGTGAACCACAGACGGTTGCTTGACGGAATGTTTGAGGCCTGTGGGGTGCCTGATGATAAATTTAGGGCCGCATGTTCTGCTGTGGACAAGCTAGATAAGGTTTGTTTTGTCACCAATAAGTTTCACTCAAGTTTTGTCACTATGCAATATCTTTGCGCAATGTCATTTTGAAATTTCACTTACACAACCAAGGACTTTAGAATTGTAGTACTGTGCAGTGTTAGAATTTATAATTGTTATTTACAATTAAATCAATATTATGCAAATAAACTACAAAACTATTCTAAAGTATGACTACTCTTGTATTTACAGTCTCCATGGGAAGAAGTCAGGACAGAATTGATAAATGAGAAAGGAATAACCCCAGATGCAGCCGACAGAATCGGAAAGTATGTCCGCTTGAGTGGCAGCACCGAACTCATCGAGAAGTTGCTCCAAGACCACACATTGACTGCAGCGAAGCCCTCCGTAGATGGATTGTGTGGCATTAAGATCCTACTGGACTATTGTGAGATCTACGGCATTAAGAACAAAGTTGTCTTTGATTTGAGCTTGGCAAGAGGACTGGATTATTACACAGGAGTTATCTATGAAGCTGTATTGACAGGTAATTGACTCCACCAATCAATAAATTGACGAAAGTCAAATCGAGACTCCCATAGATAATGTAGGGCAATACAAGCTGATGATGTCATTATTTTGCCATGTCAATTGGCTAACTTTTTTTAGTTACAAAACAACCAAAAAACATAATTTACAGTCATTTAAAATTAATGAATTTTTAAGACCATTCTGAAGTACTTTTTGAAATAAGCATTGCTTTGAAAAATCTACATAGATATTTTGCATAGGTATGAATGGAAGATTTCCAGTCTATTACTATTTGTGTTTATTCCTAGACTATTCTTTTATTTTTATATAACGTCACGCCAATTAAATACGTTAACGCAATCAATATCAGTTTAAAGTTTCACTGAAATTCATTGAAATCGATATTACTTGGCGATAATTATTTTGATAACCGTTTGTATCCTTTCAGAGCCCATTAAAATCGGCAATGAAGAGCAGTCCGTAGGCTCGATCGCCGGCGGCGGACGATACGATAACCTTGTCGGGATGTTTGATTCGAAGAACAAACAGGTACAGTGGTCACAATATAATCTAAATATATATTTAACTCAAAGGTGACTGACTGACTGACTGATTGACTGACTGACATAGTGATATATCAACGAACAGCCCAAACCACTGGACGGATCGGGCTGAAATGGCATGCAAGTAGATGTTATGACGTAGGCATGCGCTAAGAAAGGATTTTACGAAACTCTACCCCTAAGGGGGTGAAACGGGACCACGCGTACGAAGTCGCGGGCGGCCGCTAGTACATTATATTGATAGATGTTTAGAGTAGTTGAGGACTCCCTTAGACTTATATCCAGTGGATTGCAGCACAGCGAAAGCTTAAAAACATTATCTTAGTACTCTAGTTGAGACGTAGTTAATTTTTTGTTTGCACCGAAACTACACTGTTATTTTCTATGCACCAGCGATACTCTCTAAAGGTGATTATTGTATTACACGCTGCGAGCACTAATTGGCTCCTTCCTTGAAATGAAATTATTGTATGTTTGTATAGAAAGTTTGATCTTGTTTTGCGTTACGTATGAACTAAATAATCTGCTGTATTTATTAATACGACGATCTGGTAAAGGTCGCGGGAAGAGCCTGGATGCGGGCAGCGCAGGACCGTGCATTGTGGAAAACCTTGGAGGAGGCCTTTGTCCAGCAGTGGACGTCATTTGGCTGAAACGAACGAACGATTTATTAATAATAATTAATTTTGTTCTACAATAATTTTGGTTACAAATGTAAACTTTAGCCAGTCGCTAATGGGGGCGTTTAGTCGAAAATAGAATTGTAAGTGCTTATAAGAAAAATGGCATAGCTAAGCGGTAAGTGCTATCACTGCTAAAAAATTGTATGAAAAACGTCACTATTGAAGTTAGCAAACGTGTCCTCGCCGAAAACAGGCTAAAGTTTTCGGCAGTTGCCATAGCGATCGCCATTTTGCTTACACTATTTTCGGCCAAACGCACCCGTTGCAGTTGTCTTAAAACTTAATGAAAATCTTCTACTTGAATGAATGTGTTTATAGTCTTTTTAATAATTAGTTTTTATCTTATATTTTCAGGTGCCTTGCGTAGGTGTGAGTATAGGAGTAGAGCGCATCTTCTCTGTGATGGAAGCGAAACTGGCCGCGGGAGATATGCATGTGCGGACGAACGAAATCGAAGTATACGTCATATCGGCGCAGAAAAACTTCCTCGAGGAAAGAATGAGGATCTGCAATGAACTCTGGAACGCAGGCATTAAGGTACCGTTTACATTGTCTAGTAATCGAGTTTGATGATTTAATTGTTTCGTGTATTGTCGTCTACACGCTCTATCAGAGTAAATACAAATGAGTAGCTCATCTTCATAGAAACGCCCGAGCGCGGTTTGTATGTGAGCGCGCACGTACACACTGACAAAATTTAGCGTGGATTAGCGGTGAGTTGCGCTGAATTTTGAATTTTCTATGAAGATTTTTATTTACTCTGGTTCTATCTCTGTACCTATAGAGAGTATAAAAAATTAGAAACAAGTGAAAGTGTATCACTTCGCCTTGACCTCCTTTTTGCGAAAAATGGTAGGTCATAATATGTCGGTAAGGTCAAATCGACTATGAATCACACTAATATGTCTAGTACTTAACTCAGACAATGCCTGAGGTATGGGAGCGGCACGAGTGGGGTGACATAGATATATTATCACACTAGCTTTCCGCCCGCGGCTTCGCCCGCGTGGAATTTTGTCTGTCACAGAAAAACTTTATCGCGCGCGTCCCTGTTTCAAAAACCGGGATAAAAACTATCCTATGTTCTTTCCCGGGACTCAAACTATCTCTATGCCAAATTTCATCAAAATCGGTTGCGAGGTTTAAGCGGGAAAGCGTAACAGACAGACAGACAGACAGACAGACAGAGTTACTTTCGCATTTATAATATTAGTTGGGATGACGTCATCTAAATATATAAAATCCTTTTGTAAGAAAAATCTAAACCGCTTAAGTTAGACGCTTGAAATTGGACATGCAAGTACCTTAGTAAACTTAAAGCTTAGTTACAACAGTATATTGCAAAATTCCCACGGGAACGGGAGTTAGCGGGAAAAAACATTTGTATGAAAAAATCTAAACCGCGTAAGATAGATGAAGGGGGTAAAACGGGATCCACGCGTACGAAGTCGCGGGCGGCCGCTAGTCCTCTATTAATCTGAAGTCTCGCTGACATTTGACGTCTCAAAAACTGACTGAGTTAAGACCTATAATTACTTAATATTATTTGTAATTAAGTATTTGACACCGTTTACCAATACTGTACAAAGAAGTTAATTAGTTTTCATTCAACCGTAAATTTAGATTCACTTGCTTGTAAATAAATAAAAATTTAATCAATTGAATTGCCAAACTACGTTGATGTCATCATCTTGTATTGCCTTAAAATATCTTGAGAATCACGTTTTGACAGCTCATGAAAAGTCCACTATTCCAATTATAATAGTAGGCATACTTTTCAAAATCAAGATGGTGTCAAGTACACTTGATTTAAAAAATAAATAACGAGGCATTTAAAAGCTCCTTAAGAGTATTATTGACGATTTTTAAAAACTAATTTAATTTTGATTTTTATTTTAATCCCCATTCGTTTTAACTACACATCACAATTCCAAAAAAATGACACATCATTTTTTTAATTAAATTTCTCATTTCTCTCTCCAGGCCGAACAATCCTACAAGAAAAACCCTAAGATGCTCACACAACTGCAGCATTGTGAAGAGTACGGGATTCCGCTCGCCGTCGTCTTGGGCGAGTCCGAACTCAAGCGAGGCGTCGTCAAGATACGGCACATCAAGTCGAGGTCCGAAGAAGAAATACCCCGCGGTAAACTCCTGGCAGAAATCACCGAGAGGATAGCTAACCTGGGCAAAATTGAGATGAACGGGAACGGAAAATAAACTACTTAATTTTATTAGATGTAATGGTGGTACGAATGAAATCTAGTTGTCAATTCGAGTCAGTGTTTTGACACGTTTCCTAAAAATTTGCATTAAGTCGGGTAAGGCGGGTGTAATGTGTAATGTAACACGAATTCTACGTGTGGACGGCACTACGAGCATTACACGTATGTGCTGCATACTATTTCCATTACACATCTATAATCCGGGTCTTTTCAAGGCGAGAATGAATAGGCACTTACAGGCAGGGCAGATATGTACCATCCTAGACTGGAATTAAACATTGTATGGCCTTCGAAGTTTTGTTACAAACTTATTCACAAATTAACGAGCGAAATTATGTAACACGCGCAGTGAATAGTGTGTGTGAATATAATAAGGACTCTTGTGCTAACAATTAGTCGAAAATTCGTAGGATCTTTATATTGTTAGGAAAATTTGCGCCTGTATTTGTACCGTTCGAAAGAACATGCTTGATAAAATGTAAATCCAAAGTCAATTTACTGACTCGAATTAGTAACTTGAGGCGAAATGATATCCTAACTGTTTACTCACTTNTTAACATTATTACGTATTCTTCATTGCAAGGGTACATTTTAACATAAAAACTGGAGATTTTTTAAAAAATACTTAAATCTCGAATAACTTGGAAATGAACAAGTTTCGGACATGGTGTCATATGACTTAAATGACTGCAAATAAGCTCTACTTTAACCCCTTTCAAGGAATGTATCGCTTTACCTGTCACCCTGTATAAAACTGAAGCAGATCTGAAGTCTCGCTGACGTTTGACGTCTCAAAAATTGATAGAGTTAAGCGCTAGCGTTTAAATTACTAAATATTTGTAATTGAGTATTTGACACCGTTTACCAATACTGTACTTAAAAAGTTAATTGGTTTTCAATCAACCGTAATCTACGATTCTTACTCGTTTTTAAAAAAGAGTTAATTAAATTGCCAAACTACGTCGATGTCATCGTATTGCAATCAATAAGGCTGGTCATCGTATTGCAATCAATAAGGCTGGGTTGCACCATCTTACTTTAACATTGACAAACGTCAAAAAACTGTCAAAATCCATACAAAAAGCACCGGTTATCGTTATAGTTAGGTACCGTCAAAGTTAGGTGGTGCAACTCAGCCTAAGTGTACCTCTCAAATTAAATTTAAATCAATATGGTTTCAAATACCCTATAGTTTAAAGGTCACTAACATAATTATTATTTCTGACGGGATTGCTACCATGTACCTTAATTTTTAGTTTCCGATATTGGGACGGGACGTGGATGTGGGGTCTGACTGCTGCGTGATTGGTGAATTTTGACATATCTGTCAATGTCATGTCAAAAATAACCAATCATGCAGCATTTGGACCTCGCGTCTACGTATTGCCATCTGGCGGATTTTTCATTCGCGAAAACCCTCATTCCAAAAAAATGTGCGCACACCATCATTTTTTATTATTAAATTTCTCATTTCTCTCTCCAGGCCGAACAATCCTACAAGAAAAACCCCAAAATGCTCACACAACTGCAACATTGCGAAGAGTACGGCATTCCGCTCGCCGTCGTCTTGGGCGAGTCCGAACTAAAGCGAGGCGTCGTCAAGATACGGCACATCAAGTCGAGGTCCGAAGAAGAAATACCCCGCGGTAAACTCCTGTCAGAAATCACAGAGAGGATAGCTAACCTGGGCAAAATTGAGATGAACGGGAACGGAAAATAAACTACTTAATTTTAATAGTTGTAATGGTGGTACGAATGAAATCTAGTTGTCAATTCGAGTCAGTAATTGACCCTTTTTCTAAAAATTTGCATTAAGCCGGGTCCGGGTGTAATGTGTAATGTAAGATTACATGTAACACGAATTCTACGTGTGGACGGCACTACGAGCATTACACGTATATGCTGCTTACTATTTCTATTACATTACACGATACATTATATTACACGTTACACCCGTCTGGATTCGGCTTAAGTCAGAGCATTTAATTGTAATGAACGTACTTTATCGCGAACCAAACATTGTATGACCTTCGAAGTTTTGTCACAAACTGATTCACAAACTGATGAGCGAAATTATGTAACACGCGCAGTGAATAGTGTGTGTGAATTATAAAAAGGACTCTTGTGCTAACAATTAGTCGAAAATTCGTAGGATCTTTATATTGTTAGGAAAATTTGCGCCTGTATTTGTACCGTTCGAAAGAACATGCTTGATAAAATGTAAATCCAAAAGTCAATTTACTGACTCGAATTAGTAACTCGTGGCAAAATGTTATCCTAACTGTTTACTCATTTCGGTTGGTGAGACTGAGTAAAATGTGTTTTATTGCTACAAATCTAAATCTAAAGTTATGTGCACGTCAAAATTTAAAATAAATGATAGAGCATTAAGTTTGGTACCGTTAGTTCCATAAATTAATGTAAAGTAACTCTAAACATAATTTGGGTATAAGTAAATGGATTGTAAGAATATTAAAATTTTTGATAAGATTGAGTTTTGATGCAGACTTCCAAAAAATTGTATCAGGCTTGCCGTGCATTCAATAACTTGAAGTAAAAACTAAGGCCCTTATTACTAAACTAACCCTAAAACTCGGTTCAAGTCCTTAGGTTAAATTTTATAAACGGTTGAAATTCAGTATTCAGAACAATCTAAGGACAGTTTTAGGCGTCGTTTCGTAATACGGGTCTAAGAGCACAGTGATGGAAGGATATAATGTGTCAAAAGATTTCATTGCCACAAACACGCCTCTAGGGTATTATTATGTATTTATGTGTAAACTACAATAGTATACTAAACAAACCAGTGATCAGATATTTTGTGATGCTGTTATGTCCTACAAGCATGTACAAAATTTTGTGATTCCGAGATTAATTTAATGATTTTATTCGATAACGTTGCATGACGAGACTCTTAATGATATGTAAGATTCATGTCCGTTTTCACCATCAATCCCTATTTTTTAAGTGACCCCTATGAAAACAACATTCCTGTTATGTGTTACCATAGGGGTTACTTAAAAATTAGGGATTGATTGTGAAAACGGGCATCAGTCAGCGTCAAATAGTTCATGACACCCAAAGTAGCCAAAAGTTCGCATGTCTTTGTTACAATAAATTGAAATAAGGTCATCTTTTTAGCCACTTTAGGTGTCACCCAACTATTTGACGCTGACTGTACAAATCGTCTTTGGGAATATTATTAATTTATTAAATTACTTGTTTAATATAAGTATTTGTGATAAGAATTAAGAACTATGGGTTAATAATTTAATGACTTATAACTACTATGGTCTTATCATCAATTTTCATATTTGTATTTTCTACTGTTTCAAATAGGTTCATCCGTAGTATTTATTTAGTTAAACTAAATTTCATTCATTGGCGTCAAAGACGGAATTTGTATATGTGTGCATTATAATTTGTATGTTATCATTAATTTCTATGTCGATTAAAGTTTTATGATACAGATAGCGCGTTCTTATTAATGTAAATTATGTTCATATCCATAACGTTTACCCTTTGAAGAGTTAACTAATAAGCTTTATTTATACTATTCGAAATTTAGCCATCGAAGCCGAATAGTGAATAGGGCTTTTCATAAAACCATATAGGTAAAACAAATATACGACTCGTAATCATATTCCTTTAAACAACTGTAGTGGTGCTGTTTTGCTTTACATATAAAAAGGACAATACCACCACCACACCACATGCCACAATCAAATGAGAACGATGTTTATTATCCGTGCTTCGGGCACTGATAATAACTGATACATTTACGTTACGCCACGTTGGTTTTGGTATTTCCCAAACATACCTCGTAGTTCGTTCGTCTCAAAGTTGGTAAATTATACCTAATAGATAAAATATTTAGCTTTAGGAGCTTCAACTATGTAGTAGAATATTCGTGAATGCCAAGTTAAAAATGTTGCCTATTATTCAAACGCTATGTTATTTTTCTTTATGTTCCGTCCATGGACAGTCGACGCGTTAACGTAATTAACGAATTCGTCATACGCTGATACGCATTTGCCCACTAATTAGGTATATACTAACTTAATTAAGACATTAATCACGGTCTAAACGGAACTGGACAAAAAAGGAAGAATTACCCTGCATGTTAGGCCTAACTCGATTTTTTTTTACCTAGAGTTAACGACTGTGAACGATTCATGTTCCTCAAAGCAATTCTGCTAAAAGTTTGTTAGGAGGATATATGTATGTTTGTTACTCTTTTACGCAAAAACTACTGAACGGGTTTTGACGAAACTACAGTAGATACCTACCTATTCTTGTTGTACATCAGAATAACTTAAATGCTATTCAATACAAACCCAAGAATTAATGACAGTGTTGGTGAGATGGAATTAGAAGAAATAGGAATTTGTATTATGTACTTACCTTTTTGTAATGACGCACGAATAAGTAGGTACGCACTGGATCATACCCAAATTCGTGATACCTTTGCTATTTTCGATTAATAGGTATTTCTCGGACTCCTCGTATGCTCCTCCTCTTTTCCAATTGACATGCCCTATAAGTAGGGCCTATAGTCTTAAGTTCATGATGGATGCAAACAAAAAATTGAGTATTGACTCGGTATTAATGCAGTCAGTTTAAGCAGGTACCTATCCATTACTTATTTTGTATTCAACTACTTTTGATGTAGTTATTTTGTATTCAAACTACTGATGCATGAAACCATTGATAAGTTCCAGTTACAGAAGGCCAGATCTTTGATTGTTTAGCACCAATGTAGTAATTAACTACACAATGAAAAGGCTATAGTATAATTGCTAGGGCCGTTTCTGCCCTTATAATAATTTTCCGTTCTCACGTGCAGATTATATTTCGCATCTCATAATAAATGTTGAGCTGGTTTCCGAGTATAGTGACAAATAACTACAATATCAATGACCTTACGTCAACGTCCCCGACTGGGTTCTATTGACCTCGGCCGCGGGTCCCAAGCACGTCCGCGGTGCGCGCTTCTGTTCCAATAATGTCATGTCATGGACGTTGTTTTGGATTCTCATTGTTCCCGTCAACAGCCTTACTTGTTCCTGTCATTGTGCATGATACACCGTGAAGTCCAACACGATTTTCATCAATATAAAACTATTTATGCGGACCGTCTCCCGCCTATTGAGTATCCAAGCCTCCGTCTAGCAAGACATCTGGCAGCAGCACTGTGATGAGATGATTCCTCGGCATAAAAAGTATTTTTGCTTGACAATCAGTGTATTTTTGTTTGTTTCGGGTGTCAGTGCATCAGTGATAAAAGAAGCCTTAGAAGATCACCTGAAGGATGTCGCACATAAGGAAGGCGCGGAATCGGTCAAGCATGAAAAGCAGAGAGGCGAAAAAATACATCAAATTGAAAGCCAAGTGAACGATAGCCACAAGAACCAGTACGCTAAAGCTACAGATGAAGGGAAATACCTGAAGAAGGACCACGACTCGAAGTCTGCCTCGGAAAGTGATGCCTATGAAGGATACAATGCTCAGCAAGACAAAGCCGAGGACAGCCAAGCAGGTGGTTATAAACGAGGACATAAAAAGGGACATCATAAACAAGGTTTCCAGAACTCATATCACAAAGACGAATCCTCTAATAAGAGCACATTCTTTGATGACTTCAATGATGAAGGTGACCAGGCAGCGTATAATAGTCGTTTAAATAGCCACGACAACCAGGGAGGCAGGAGATATAAAGGAGCTCACAATAACGGGCAAGAACATGTGAGAGATAATTATTATGGCGGAGGTTACAATAGGCAAGGGGATAATGGTGTTAAGCACGTCGGTCATCAAGATTATGGTAAAAAGTATTATCTGAATGATGATGAACATTACAACAAATACAAGAATGGTCATGATAAATATAATAGAGATCGATACTATGATAGGCAAGAGCATCGGGCACCTCCTCCAGTTCATCATGACCCAGGATGGAAAGGTTGGGAGAGGGACCCTGGATGGAATCAGCGAGGTTGGGAGAGAGATCCCGGATGGGAGAGGGACCCAGGGTGGCAGAGAGATCCAGGGTGGCAGAGGGATCCAGGGTGGGAGAGAGACCCAGGGTGGCAAAGGGACCCAGGATGGGGCAGAGACTACGGCGGTCCAGGATATTACGATGACCATGGGATTCGCCATGACGGTGGTTATGGATATGGCCCGCATCACGGTTATGGTTATGGTTACGATGAATCTCGAGCTAGTCCAGTGGCTGAAATACCTAAAAACGCTCCAGTCGTTGCTCAAAGGAAACAAACTATTACTATTTATGAAGATCCAAGATATGACGGCAAAGATAAGGGACAGTTGAGGCGTGAAGAAGGAGACTATCTTCAGTTAGAATTCAAACCTAGCACTCATCGTTATGCTAGTTATGACAATACTTATTATAGTGCTCCAACAAAAGATAGAGCCATGGAATCAAGTAAAATTAATAGGCTCGTTTATAACTACAGGCGACAGTAAATTATGTAATTTTAGACTAATATTAAGTTTGTTTTGCAAATTATAAATTAAAATGCTTTCCCAGGGATACTCATTAATTTATTTTTTCTTTGTAATAGATTCTATAACTACTACATGTAACTACATTATTGTGAATTCTTTTAAGTTACGATTTTTTTTTGGTATTTTTTATCAATCAGGTTTTTTTATTTGATCCCAAGCTCATGAAGTTTTTTCGAGGGGTTGCATTAAAACTGTAACACGAAATGTGAAAATTATGTAAATAAAGACTATTTCACTGGAACGTGGAAAATTATTTCTTCCTTTTCCGAGATTCTGCGACAAATATTTAATATTCCTGTAGGTATTATCGAATATCTTGATATTGCATATTTGCCGATACCCAGTGAGTCGTGCAAGTCAAATACAGGTGCTTTGAAGGCAAGATTCCTGGGGGCAGTTGCTCAGTGACGGACGGACGGTCAGTCGGGCGGCATATTTCAATATAGAGACGCTTCGGACCGTGACGCGGCGATGGGTGTTGAGCGTGCAAAATCATGTCATCCGAAAAAAGGTAGGTATACCTATGCTGCTCGGCTCGCAGACGGAAAATATTGATGGCCATTTCAATAGTCGATGATAGGTACCTATTTTAGTTTTACGAGTAACTATTTCCTTATCATGAAATAAAAATAAGTCACGTAACACATTATAAGAAACTAAGTACTACTACGTAGTACTTATTATTATTCTGTGGTACTACATACTTCTTTCTTTCTTCTTTCTTTTCAGCCAAATGACGTCCACTGCTGGACAAAGGCCTCCCCCAAGGTTTTCCACAATGAACGGTCCTGCGCTGCCCGCATCCAGGCTCTTCCCGCGACCTTTACCAGATCGTCGGTCCACCTAGTAGGAGGCCTGCCTACTTANGAAACTAAGTACTACATACTTAGTTTCTTATAATGTGTTACGTGTTATGGAGATAATAAACATAATTAAGAATTCATTAGGTAGCTATACAAGAAAGTTATGCTAAGAATGAAACTTAAAAATGGGTTTGAAGTGTGTGTGTATTATCATAAGTCGGCGATTTTGCCTATAACTACGTATCTGCGACAGATTTTACTTAACTAGTCTTGCCTGTGGATGTAACGTTTTATCATAAAAGCCAGAGTCTCACAAATAATAGGCCGCTTACCTCTCCGTTACCCGATGACATCACAATTTGCTCACAGCGGCGTGAAGCGACGGAATTCGCAAAACTCCTGGGTGTCTTTGACGATAACTCCACCAAGTTTCCGAATTAACCCGCTTTATTACCCTTTCCGCTTTAATTAAAAGACATCGTTGTTGAGCCACTACCCACTCGTAGATATTTTTCAGTGCTTTTATTTGTAATTTAAATTTTGCAACCCTTCGCTGTGGTTCCGCTTTGGGGGAATAAACTAATTTAAACGCTAAGCTCCCGGCAAAGTCTCTTTTATAATATGTATGGTCTGGGCAACATTTTAAAATTGGATTAGCCGCATCCGTACTCATACCACCCGTAATACTATCTATACAGTATTCCAACTCGGCCATATTTTTGAAATAAATGTCAACAGCCCCGCGGTACGTCACGGTATGACAACATGCGATAGGGCTGCACATCTACAGTACCCATTCTAATTACATCTGTCTACTTAGAATTTCTATCTAGTTTTGTGATTGTAATTTTCTTTTATTTAGACAAACAAAATACTTTGTGAATGGAATAGGATAAAAATGCGTGTTGTTTTGTGTTAGTAGATTTAATTAAAAAAAAATATACTAAAATAATTTTGAATCTACTAATCATAATGAGTACTTAATGACCTGTTACTTTAATTTCAGGCCGATGAATTCGTGGGCAAAAGCTGGTTTAATACAATATAATTTTTATTTCAAATCAAACTGACTGAAAATGACCATTTTTGACTGTTAAAAATTTGTTTTTGACATATTTGACCGTAAATTACGGTAGTCAAATTCAATCACCTTAGTCATTTTCAACACTAGCTAGGCCATCGACGTCCGTTCGGCACATTCGTGACACCCCTAACCCTAACTTTCGGATTTCGACCGCGTCCCGAGATTTGAAATTCGAAGGAAAGCTCGCTTTTCGTCGGTTTATATGAAGTTATAATACTGTATGATATTATTACCGTGCTCATACAGCCATTGTTTTCGAATTTTTATTAGTCAGATTCCTTTTTCATTGTTCTAAAAATTTGCCAGACAAGAAATACAAAGCATAATATCTTGACTCTTAAAAACCACTTTAGGTTGTTTGGAAACCAATATTTTTGAAATAGTACAAAGTGTAATTGAACTCGTGAATAAACATGAGTGTTGTCAGACAAAAATTTAGTGGATATGAATATTACCAGCCAATCTGCAATTTTAAAAATATCCAGACCACTCGTTCGCGGAATGGATAGAGTCGCGTCACTTGACGCTGAATTAATCAATGAGTTGAACGAGTTAGTTTGCATAAACCCTTTGAAGATCCTACTTTAGTTAGAGGTGTGATATACCCAATTTGAAAAACAATTAGGTTGTATGAATTCTTTTGATACGTTGTTATGGTAAAGGGACTGATTTAATAACTGGCGCCCAACGTGGGGGAAACTGAGCACGGTTTAAAGTCTCTCATATTAAAACTGAGTTACGTTTTCATACAAAGGGATTTAATTATTCTATCATAATGGACTTGACAAATTGTACAATATAACGCCGTTTCACGTTGAATGTTAGAGCAAAAGAAGAAAACACCNAAAACATCGTTTGAATAAAACAAAACTGGCTATAAGAACAACCGTTAAAAGAAAAGGCAAAGGAGAATAAAATTTGTCGAGAAGCTGATTACAGAGTTCTAATCACTGGGCCTTCTTTATTGTACTTCTAACGACTTAACTAAGGGCACTAAAGCAATTTCAAAATGGCACCCGAATAACACGCCAATAATCGTTAGCAGCGATTGGAAAACAAAACTGTGATTATAGGGTATTATCTGGAGATCCCCTGTCCCTTACCCTCGTTTCGTCTAATGTATGTCTGTCTCATTTGTCTCGGAGGGGATGGACGAGATAGTGACATTACTTTAACGAACTTTCGATGGTCCGTTGCAGGATGGGGTTCGGAAGATCTCTGAACTAAAACCGATTAGTTTCAAAGGGATAGAAGAATTCTTTATTTAATTGCAAATTATCTTCAGTCCTACTTACTTATGAAAATGAAATAGAGCTTGGAGATTTTTAAATATTTTACTAGAATATAAAAGTCAAAGCTCTCAATTTAGTAAATTGCAAAAGTAAAATGTACTTCAATTTAGTAGATTTTTAGGTCTTCACGGGACAAGGCTAAACATTTCTTTGAATTTAGCAAACAATTCAAATTGGCTAATAATAAAAAAGAGTTGTTAAGTTCTTCAAAGGGAAACCATACTACGGAAAGAATCCTGTCAATTGCCTTGCTTTCATTCTTTAGATGATTTTGCAAGCTTTGTAAGAAAATTTCTAAGAATTTTAAATATTGTTAACGGTATTTTATTCAGTAATTTCTTGCTGAAACAAGAGGTATTTTAAGTCGGGTACTACCGAGAAATTATTTTATAAAATTAAATGTTCGAAGAATAATTTATCCATTTACCTGTCAGTAACGTATTAGGTATTTCTATAAAAATACTGAAAATATTATCGTACGAGTAAGTAAATTTTAATTCATTTAAAATGTGCATGCGGGTAGCGTATTGTCGTTCTTTACATCACAAAATTACAAACATTAATATTTTCTAGAAAACGATTGTTATCCATCCAGCCCCGTTAATGGGCCGGTGCTGTGCGCGGAAAATTTCGATTAAAACAAAATCGGGGCGCAAATCCCGCGGGTGAGGTTTATTTCATAGCAATTAGTTAGCTACAGCCGGAGGATTCGTCACGATTGAACGAGTACCCCTTTGCAATGCGGTATACACTCAACGATTCCATACTATGATGACAATATTGTGTTCATATTCATTATTCTACTAGCGCTAGTGTAACTTAGACTTAAACCTACGCTCTAGGTTTATATTTAGTACTTACTCTTGGTTTTATATCCCATCCATAGTGCATCAAGAAGTCATGGGATTAGCAGAGAGTAACAGTATTCTACATTAAAATCTATGTGATTTGATGTGCATTAAGTATCTAGGTAGTAATATACTTAACTTAGAAAACCTTAATACCTACGTCAATTTTCCGAAATTAGTTTGTCCAATAAAATTGCAATCGTCATAAGCTCTGTCTGTGTAAAGCGGACTTGCGGAAAGTAACTTTCAAACTTGCTCATACAGAGCGTCGTCAGAGTCGGCGACAAAACCGACTGCACACAATAAACAGCGCAGATAAGAGTTGCGAGGCTTTATTGTTAGGAAATACGCCACTCGCTTAGTACTGTTTTCATGAGTATCATGTACAAGATATACCTACCTACTGAAATGTTACTACCTACAACTTATAGTTGTTGCATTTTGTTAAAATAGGTATGTAAAATAGGAAAGAGGTTTTATTTAAAGCTTATTAGGTTTTTATAAAACTGTTAACAGCAGTAGATAGAACACAGATACGTAATAGTTACTGTTGAGGCCGCATATAACGTCCAAACTCTTGGCCGCGCGCCTGGCCAGTAAGAAACTTTATTTTTATTATTCGATAAATTTTAGATTGTCAATTGTTTTTCTTTTGAGACTGCTCTACGTTTTTATTTAATAGTCACGCCCCGTGCTAAAAATAAGCATATTATACGAGCATTTTAATATGTGGATATAAAAATTAAGTAAAGTTTAAGTTATGTTAAGTAGAAGAGAGATGCAAAACTATGTAGCACCTCAAGACGAAATCTTAATTGTTAATAATCAAACGCAAACGCCTTAAGGGTCCAAGTAACTCACGTATCGGCATAAGTTAAGGTTTGTTTGCACTCCAAACAGCTCAGGTTAGCGCGTTGTGTGCAGTTTTGTT